ATTGCGTAAGATTTTATTACGAGAACCTAATTGTCATCTCACCGTTTAAGGGGGGCATCATTACAAAATGGAGAGGTGAAGTTGGTGGTATTTTTCCTGGCGTTTAACTGGAGGGGGTGTTCCCCAGCATCTCTGTATGCTGGATACGTCACTTGGCGCCGCATGTTGCGCCAATTAATGTCTGTGAAATAAAAATAACAATGACTGCTTCTTGATATATAGCGCACATTTCCGTCACGCCGCGACGCTCCAACAGTATTATCCCGGCCTTAGATGGTGGCCAAATAAGTAGCGCTTCGGCTCTTTGGGTACCCATTAATTTACCTGGGTGGAGAGTGGGGAAATTAGATTAATGTCTTGACAAAGGACGTGAGTGTCGGGCTGGGATTCGAACCCTCAACCCTTAGATTTAAAGTAAAGTGAATAAACCACTATACGGCGACACATGTGTGTCAAATTTCATTGCGTCCATGATCTCAAAATGTATACGAACAGGATCGAATATAAAGCAAACTAACACATGCTTGACAGAAAAGCGAGCAAATAAGTGCTTGATTCAGTAGCGATGAAAGACAATACAGTTTACACTGTAGCTAGGACTTTTCGAGTTCCCTTTAACAAAACACACACCATCATTATTCTATTAATCCTATCAATGATTTGTTAAATTTCACCGTAAGTTGAGTAGAAACTTATAAATGTTGTATGTAGCCCCTTCACGGTAGGAAATTTCATCAAAAATATTGTTTCAGTTCTGGCAGGGGTCGGATCCCAGATTTTGTAAAAAGAGGGGGAATGATATTCTGATAAAAAGTGAACAAGAAAGAAGAAGAAAATGAGTTATCACCTGAAAAGAATAGGCCCAATCTTGGATTTGCGTACATAGGGGTATTTTTTAACGAAATCCTCGCCATAAATAATTCGGCAACATGCCTATAAACGTGTATAACGTCATTCGAGTCTCGTGAATCATTGCCGTGGAAGTTAATTTACAACGAAGATAACGCAAGAGGAGGAGAGTGTTAATGTTGTAATCGTGACAAGACATAATTTACTCATTTCGAGACGGAAGTGTCATGTTATCCAATGCCCTTCAGACTGATAATCTCGAGTGTCTAGCCAAGGTTCGAAATCATTATCAGAAGTGTTGCAATCGAGTGGTTTAAACACTGTTCTTAAAGCCTCTCTAAAATGTTGGGAGCCCACACAAATTTATGACAAATGTTCACTTTAATTTTATAATGAAGTGAAAGGGGATTTCATTTCATTAAACTGACTTCTGCAAGAATTTTCAGAATAAATGTGTTTGAAGACGAATATTGATGAAAGAATACAAAATTTCGGTTTTCTTCATACAACACAAAACCCAAATTTTGTATTCTTTCATCAATATTCATCTTCGAACACATTTGTTTTGAAAATCATTGCAGAGTTGAGTTTTACAGGGCATCCTCTTTAACATCAAAACACAATTGGAGTGAATTTTTGCCATCAATTATTTTAGCGAATTTGGGGCCCCCAGCACTTTACAGGGGCTTTAAGTAAGGCACTTTTTCTGCACTGCTATCCCTCCATCCAGATGTTAAATAGGTACCGTGATGAGATGCGAAAGGCATTTTAGTTTGCCCAGCATTGTGCACGCCTTTAAAATGGCGCATCGCTAGAATGCTCCCGAAGGAGTGGAGAATGTGCACACTTTTTGTGCTGGCAAGCCTGAATCCGATGACTGACGATAATTATATTTCTGTAAAGAGCTTAGGGGCACTATTATGTAAACCCGGAATGTCATTTCAATTACCTGTCTACTATACGGTGTGGGCCTAGATACTGGTAGAGCTGAAATATCAAGTGTGAGCTTTGTGGTAATTGTGAGCCTTTGTAATTATACGTCTGGTTTGTAATCATATGTCAATACAATTGTATGTAATTGTATTATGTAATTGTATGTCAGTTTGGAAAATTGACATAGTAGTTTTTTAATTACCATCACATTCGACATGGGATGACACATAATTGTAAAGGATCGACCAGACTTTCATGCCATATCAGCGGGCCCTCTTATTGAATTGAATTTATGTACCACTTTCATTTGAAAAAAATGCAAAGTCAAATAATACAATATAAGATTTCTTAAAATATATACAAAGAAAGAAGAAAAAAAATGTCAATATGGATGATACAAATACAATAAAATTGAAAATACACCTACAGGAAAGTACGAGGTAGTTGGATCATCACAAGTTACAGCAACTTAAAGGTAGATGCTCCTACACAAAATATAAAAACTAACACAAAAAAAAAAATTAAAGAAATAATACATTTATTATTAAAAACATAAAAAGGGCAGTTGTCAAATGCAACAGCTTATGCTTGGATTACATTTGCCCCGGGCGCCTTACGGCAAATTAATCTACGATTTTTCGTGCGATTTTGGGGGCATCGTAAGAGGCAACGGGTTACGATGTTTGTGTTTACATTATCTACGAGCATCGTGCCATTTCTTTTATTGGCCCTAGGGGACAGGCCGGGGCAAATCCGTACAGAGGCTAGCTGCTGGGAGATTGTACGGAAATCGTGCAATTTCAATGAAGTAGCCGTGCAGTCTCCGCAGCCTCCGCACAGAAATCGTAAGGAGCCTGTGCAGCTTCCGTGCAAAGGTTGCGCGGAGAAGGTGCAATGACTGTGCAGCCGCCGTGCCGATTTTAAGTGTTTTCTTGCCTCCATGATCACCGAAAAATCGCGCGTTTGAAGCACGATCAGCGCGAGTCATCCGCGCGATGCCCGTGCGAGGATTGTACAATGACACCTACGACACGTTTACGAACTACGGGCTTACGATTTTTCAAAGTTGTTTAACTTTCTGCGAAACAAAATCGTAGACGCCGTGGAGCCCCGCGGAAAAGGGGATACGGGCAGGATACGGGCTCGGTAGACTAATCGTAGGCCAAATGTAATCTAGGCATTAGTGCTAGCCCTGTGAATTCTCTGTGAAGAGCATGTAATTTTCCGCATGATAGAGTCACTTTCTTTTCATTTTGATAATTTCTAAAGCTCACAGTATACACCGATCCTTATAAACACCTCCGTTGATCCCAATTGCTTCAAGAGCTTTTCTACACTTCATATAGTCGTATAACAAGCTACTCAATATCGTCTTTCAAGATTGTAGATGTACTGGTCATGTATTTTCTTTATGAAGGAAACCGCATTGATTGGTAGAATACGTAGGAATATGAATCTATAATGTATTACAATAAAGATCTGTATTCATTGCACTATGGAATAGAGTATAGATCATTCGGATATCGGTATTTTTTATTTGATTTTATTTGATTGTATTTCTGCATTTTTCCAAATGTAATATAACTGAATAACAAAGAATATATAAATGTAAGGTATAATACAACATATACAAACAATAATTTATTCATTTCAAAATGTGTTTTACATAATATATGTACATATAATAACGAAACTTAATATTTCCATAACATATTACCATAAATGTATTATTATCCGAACTATAACGTTGGAAAAGTGCAGGAGACAGCAATCATAAGCAAAGCTTGACAAGGATGGCTATGCAATTGGTACATGTGTTTATATAATAATACAACCTCACAATTTCGTCCAGAGTTGTAATCTATTCCTCATCTTATAATACAACATTGGTTTTAAAAGATTAGATACTGCACACTTTTTTCTTCTTCACGTTTCCGAGGGAAATGACCGTTCTTTTTCTGCTCTTGAAATTATTTCGTACTCTTGACATTATTTCGAAGTTTCCAATTTCATTGGACAAGAACGTCTCGAAGTGTCATGTTCAAGGCCTTAAATGAGAGCGAACTTGACAAAAAGCCGGGCATTTACAACTCCGAATTCTGTTGATAAAAAGCTACGTAATGTTTGAGTTTACAGGTACACTTCCCCTCTCTTCCCCCTCATTCCTGCTATAAATTGTCAGTAATCAGTCATTCTAACGCGGTGTGTGCTCATTCTGTCGCAATATTCGTTTCCTTGAACTTCAATCCATTCGTGAAATCATTGTCAAGTTATTTTCATCCGATGTAGGTCGAGAAACTTTTGTTTGCCTATTTGTCTTTCGTGACTGTTTAGACCTGCCTAAATTCCATATGTAAATATACCGATATGAGGTATCGTTTTCAGTTTGCCAACAGCGCAGCGCCGTGTAACTTTTTTTTTTTGACGGACGAAAGTAAATAATCTTTAATAATGCTTTTTCGTTGGCCTTTGTTAGTTCCTTTTCAACTAATTAGCGACAGGCTTTTTGCGTTGAGCAAACAGAGGGACGATATGCCAGTCACACATACGAGATCGACACCAGACCAACAAAAGAGCAAACATAACAAACCCGATCAGTCCCTTTGGAATCGGTTCGGAGGTGTGACCTGGGCATGAGTCAGCACATTATCTGATATTGAAGAAGTCGGTAAATACCTTGCGTCTTAAAGATAAAGTTGAGTTTTGCTCTTGTTATTGCATTGTAAAAGAAATTGTGTGGAACAGGTTGATCATGTAGCGCCTAGGTATTGGTGGATACTGTGAGGTTTTTTGGAATCATCAACATGATAAGAAATCAGCCCAGTTTTTCTAAAATTCACATGCATCATACACAGAAACATGAATAAGGGACTACACATACATGTGACATGAAATTTGTGGTCCAAAACCTTCAGCTGTTACTTGTCATATTTCGAATATGATTGCATTTAAAGAGCCATCCTTTATAGGGTCATTCTTTTCTATGACACTTTTCCCCATTAACAATGAACAGAATGAAAAACTTCACAAATAAATGTGCACCTTTTCCAGAACCCAACCTTCTCTTTAATGACAGAGAGTGGCTTCCGGGCACGATCACCTAATGACAGTGTTTAGATTTGCAGACTGTTCGAGGAGGATCGCGCCACTTAAGGCGTCGTAATGATAATGTCCAGCGAATCCTAGCGCCATTTTCTTTGACGACGGTCTATAATTACGCGGGAAAACAGTCGAACTCATAAAAAGCAGCCTTTGAATAAATTTACTTGTGACTGGTGACTTCGAGTTGTAGACTATCATTGCTCTCGCACGCTCTTATTAATTCCACCTTCAGACATCAATCAAATACCAACTCTTCATTTTGCAAGAAACGATGCAGTGTAATCGGACGAAGTCAAAAAGCACACATTCCCCACGAGACTGGCCAGCGTATGATTAGTTGCGAGGGCGGACAGAGAGTGTACTATAGATAACCATTGTGAATATAAGGTTTATTTTTTGTTAATGTCTAATCGTATCTTGTTTCCACGATGAAACGCAGAACCATTGGACAGATTTTGAAAGCGAACCCGAGCTGGAACTACCTCTCGGGCCGGACGACGCCCGGTGACCAGGAGGAATCGAACGTGTCGAATAGCTGTGGTAACAACAGCTCACCAAACATGGAAATGACCAGGAAGGTAAACTCCATTGAGATGTTACCAGAATATTTGTTTTGTCTGTTTGTTGTTATGTATGTATGTTTGTTTAATTTTTTATTTGTTTGTTTGTCAGTTTGTGTGTTTGTGTGTACGTTAGACATGAGTGTACTAAGATATCAATCATAGGTATATTTACAACTATTTTCAGACTGGTGCTCCGACTGCAGAAATGTCTGCATTTTTTTCCAGGAGATCCGGTAAGAACGATAATAAAGGTAATGATTATTTTCCGGTGACAGTTCCTCGACGCCATACATATAAATACGTTTATATAATGGGTTTATCACCTTTTTGTTGTGCTTATCTGCCATGTGTAGTGAAAAGAAATATGTGACAAAATAGAAGTTCTTGGCGTTTTTCGGTTGCTCTACCTGGCCGGAAAACTTATAAGGGGCACATTTTGTTGGCTGTGTATTAACTAAAGACACGCTTCTTGAGTTTCAAAACGGGACACCTGGATTTTAACTCTGCATGCGAAAAGCAATTGTCCCATACCCAAGACACCTTGTCGTGTTCTTGTATTCTCTTTGTGTTTGTTCTGTTCCCGTGAAACCATTTTTTTAAAGAAATTTGTTATCATGATCTTCGAATTCTCACGAGTAGCCTTCGCAAATATTGAAAATACGCGTCGTCTTTGTATTTGTATTTCTCGTTATTTGCAGTCTGTGTGTTGAAATAATGACGCAATATATTGATATACTGCCAGTGGAACTTGGTATTAAATTCAGTCATCGCGTGTATCTAAAACATGTAAAAGAAAGAGAATTCAACATTATTTTAGTACATTGGTGTATCTATCACAGCGTATTCAATTCTTCTTTAGTCAAGGCACCCTTACAAGAAATGAAAGTTTCGCGTCATCCCAATCCCAAGTTCATCACAGAATGTTAATTTTCAATCACTCTATCACTGGTCAAGTTCCATGTAAACACATACGGGCGCATTCTCAAGCGAGCAATATAAAACGAATGCCATTTTCAATTATGGTACAAATGAATAGACATAATACACTAGATAAGATGTTTAAAATTATTTAGGCGGGCACCGCATTTAAAATTCACATACGTACATTCGTTGTCACAGTGTCAATTATGATTTGATTGAGATTTTGCAATAACTGAAGCACATCGAAAATCATAAAAATGAAAATAACAATTTAATATACTGAGTACTCCCTCACTGCAAACATTAAAACTTATTTTTAGCATTGAGATTATGAATCAAAATTGATGAAAACTGAAAATTATCTGAAACCAAGTAAAAGTAAAATTATAATCAATCAAAATATGGTCAAATTTCGTGCACCTTTCTTAGCTAATTTAAATCCCGCGCATCGGTGTATTCTGTCTTTTTGTAATGACAATTACATTTTCATTTTAACTTATCCGAAATAAAAGATTTTCCAGCATATTGTCACTTAATGGCCGAATTTGATGCCCTAATTCAAATCCTCTCAATCAATATAACTTGTCTCTTTTTACTTACATTAATTGACATGTTCATCGTTGAGTTCATTAATGTAAAATGGTTTACCCGCTAGGATACGAAAGTCATTGTATTTCGCTCAGCATCGTGATCGTCTGTAAAGGAAAGGAAATAATTGGCAAACATTGTGTGTGTGCGAGCAAGCCTGAATCCGATGACTGGGATAAGGATATTTATGGAAAGTGCTAGAAATATCGTAGATGTATGAAGCGCGATATTAACCAGGTAATAGTAGTAGTAATAATAATAATAATGGTGGCTTCTTGTATAGCGCACATGTCCGTCACGTTGTGACGCTCCTGGCGCTGCCCCAATTATTACCCTGGCTTTAGCAAGGCAGCCACTGCGGCGCTCTAGCATTTCAAGGAATTAATTCCTGCCAGGTACCCATTTACATCACCTGGGTTGAGTGTGGCAAATGTAGATCAATGTCTTGCCAAAGGACATTAGTGCCGCGGCGGGACTCGAACCGCGGACTTTAAGATCGACAGTCCGTCGACGTATCCACTCGACCACGACACCTCTAGTAATAGTAGCAGCAGCAGCAGCTGCAGAAGCAGTAGTAGTAGTAGTAGTAGTAGTAGTAGTAGTAGTAGTAGTAGTAGTAGTAGTAGAAGTACTAGTAGTAGAAGTAGTATTAGTATAGTAGTAATTGTAGTCATTGATTTAGTAGTAGTCATCTAAAAAAATATATATTCGTCAGTATCTTTACGATCGTCGAATATTATTTCTTCTTTTTTTATAGGAAATGGGGGGCTCGGTGAAGAAATCGAAAATAGCCATGAAGATGATTCAATCTATGTACAAGAATGCTCATGCCAAAGAGGAATGTGTCTTAGAAGACCTGGAAACAGGGCAAGATTGCTGGGACGCCAACGAAGGCTTAAAAGAGGTGAGTTAAATAGAAATCCAAACTTTAAGAGAAGTTCGAGTTCTGGTCAAGGTGAACAAATATTTTGTGAGCTTTTGTCATTCTTTTATGTCCATTTGAAAGAATCCATTACAATAAGCTCCCTGCAAAAGTTGGCTCTTTAGATGTCATCTAATCCGAATTTATAAAAATCATTTTGATGATTCCAAAACCTCAAACACTACAAATCATTATGTACTAAAAGGATCAATCTTTCCAATTTCTTTTTCACAATGCAATCGTATGGCCAGAACTCAACATTTATCATTAATAGCAAACTGATCTAAAAGGAAGTAGAAAATCAGAGAAGCGGATCGGTGGCAGTTCTAACACACACGGACAAACTATAATATAAGAAAGTTGAAATCAATATGCATATTATGAAAAATTCAATTTGGGTGAATCGGTAATTAAACTGGTCACATGACTGTGATAAAGTGCCGCTCAACCATACCATGAGTTCCAACTCACTAAATGACTAAAATATCATTATTTTCAAAGTATATTATCCGAGAGGCTTTTTTTTAATTTGTGGAGGACCTATGATATTAATAATACATTTTAATTAATCCCACCAATAGAGAAGGTGCTTCAGAGAAAAACATACATTATGATGATGTTTCGTATTCGACAAACGGGAGAGTAGACCGTCATATGTCACGATACACTGACCAAATTGCCAATTTAAGATTCACATAGATTTCGTGATCTCACACATCACTGTACATTTTAAACATTCACTTCTTGTTATTTGTCCTATTCAAATCAAACTTCGGCCATTCTGTTTCTCCATTTTCTCCTTTTGCACAAATATCCTCATCACAAAGGTTGAATTGCCCTTAATTTACAACCTAACTCACGAGGAGATAGTGTTGGTCTAGAAGTACAGTCAGTGGTACGTTTTGTCCTAGAGCTGTCTTCGTCTAAAATTGAAAAGGATCCTGTTCGAAAGTAGGTCACGTATGTCGAATGGTGTCGTTAAACAAGTCGGGCCACATACATAAATAATCGCGTCTGATTGATACGCATCTGCACAAATCTCAAACATCCCACCCACCCACATAGACATAGAGTAATTTGCATTCAATGCATTCACATGTATCAGGAAAACAGGTTAAATGAAATTTGAGGATAATTAGACACTTGATAGGAGGTTTATAATTCATTTTACAGCTTCATTACATTGGAGGTAATTGTGCTTTCCATTAGGTATGCTATAGGCTTTTTAAAGGTTAAAGACTCTATCCGATGAAAATACAACTTGATATAATGGAAAACTGAATGAATGTAGAATACAAATATAAAAGAATACAAATTTTTACCCTTTCGTAATTGCACAAAAGCAAATTAAAACCTCATTTTCCACACCCCTCCAAATTACGGGTCAACAGGGGTCAAATTTGTCGAAGTGAAGTTACGACATACCATGTGGACCCGACCGGTAAACCTTTATAGTTGAGGCGATGAGCCGTGCTTATTAATGCAAAGTCATTGCGAAGGTTCGTACTCCACATAAGATGATGTCATCAAGTCGATAACAAGTTGTTGGGTCGACGACTTCCGATTTTCAAAGCTTTAAATTTTGAGTTTTCATAGAGCTTATACTCCTCTGGCAAACTCTAAAATGGCATATAATTGATATTATTGTGATCTATGGCTTAAAAACTTACTGTTGATATATAATTCATCCATTTCATTTTTCAGTTCGGATATGGTCGTTTAAGTAATGTTTTTATTGGCTCATATATTAAATGCCTTGTCAAGCACCCAAATTGTTTTTGTTGCAACACTTGTTACTTTTAACTGAAGCATCGAACATAATTATTGGCAAGCTTTCTGGAACGCAGCTGCTCGACTAGAACGTTTCTCAGTGATACATGTATTTAATAAGTCAACAACTTAACCGTTTCTAAGAGTTGACTTAACAGCTTTCAGTTTTTTCAGTTCGAATTTGGTCTTGTAAGTAATGTGTTTATTGGCTCATGTATTACATGCCTTAATATCAAACACCCAAATTGTTTTTTGTTGCAACACTTGTTATTTTTCACTGAAGTATCGAAATAATTATTGCCAAGCTTTCTGGAACGCAGCTGCTCGACTAGAACGTTTCTCAGTGATACATATATTTAATAAGTCACCAACTTAACCGTTTCTAAGAGTTGAATCCATCAACTCAGTGAGTATTAATATTCTCATGTCTTGGGGCGTTTTCTAATCATAGAGGTGAACATTGAGCTCAAGTTTAGTGTTTGAACGCGCATATTTCCATCTTTCCATTTGCAAGTTAGAATTTTCAAGATGTGTAAAGTTGATTTAGGCCTAATCAATTAAAGCAAACGAAATAGAATTATAAACAAAGTGAAATGACATATGGGAAGGAAATTATGAGACAAATATTTAAATGTTTACATTTTAATTAGACATGAAAAGTAGTTTCTGTTTCTTAACATATATTACACTGGTCATTAAAGCCGGGGTAATAATCTCCAAGTTTGGAAGCACTTAGTGATTCTAATAAGCGCTATATAAAAACTGAGTATTATTATTATTGTTATTATTATTTTCTATTATACGCCATCTGCATAGATTATGTTTTGATGGGAATATATTATGCAATAATTTAAAATTAACTTGCTTTGAAACGTAAATAAATCAAATGAAAACAAATCCGATTAAAGTTGAATGTATATCTTTAATTAAATGGTAAGTGCTTGACCTACATAACAACCTGGAATTTGGAAATTAGGACGGCGGAGTGATGACGGAATGCAATAAAAAAAAAAATTGTGATAGCTGTGAATTCTTCATGAAAAAAAAAAATCAATGATTAACAACTTTCGGAATTAACTTCTCTACGGTAGCCAGAAGGCCTTGCAGTTAAATTTAGATAAACGACAGCTGAAACCAATGATAATACTTGCAATAAAAGCTATGATAATTTATTATTTTCAATTATTTTGGGTGGTTAACTAATTAATTCGATTGTATGGGTCAGGACAGTAAGGGTGAACAAAAGGCGAGTGAGAATCTTAATATGATTTTAAACAGAATCTAATTGTCTTCGTAATCATATTAATGACGGTTATCTTTAGTTCTCTTTCATTTTCCTCATCGTTTATTGATCATTCTCTATTTTTTTTTCTCTCCATTCATTTCTCATCCCGTTTTTCTCTCTCTCTCTCTCTCTCTCTCTTGCCATCCCACCAACCTCGTTCTTTATATATTTAATCTCCCTCGACCCCACCAATCTCTTTTTTCTCTCTATTTCTCTCTCTCTCTCTCTCTCTCTCTCTCTCTCTATTTCTCTCTATCTTTCCCTCTCCCCCCCCCCCCCCCCTCTCTCCTCTCTCTCTCTCTCTCTCTCTCACCAGGGTGTTAATCTAAGTTTCGACGAGTTTCTCACAGGCCTGAACCTGGACCCGGAGCGGCTCCACGCCTTGGATGGCAAGGGAGCGAGCTTCCTGCACCACGCCGCCAAGGCCGGCAGAAAGGACCTGGTCGACTACCTCGTCGATCGCGGGCTGGGTAAGTTGAACGCACCAACAATTAATTTCCCTTTCAACGTGATCGCAGAGACTTTTGAGAAATCACCTGAAAGGCAAATGTCCATACTGAATATGTCATGTATGTCCTATCTGTGATATTTAAACGTTAGCAGTGTCCTAATATTTAAATTATGCAAGGAAACCCGTTTATTTGCTAGGATTCACTGTCAGACACTATTGAGTGACTGACTGGCTTCTTTTCATATTTGGTAATAACATACATAAAATGAGCTGTAAAGGGTACATGAGCATTTTGTCTACATCAATAACCCACTTCTTGTCATGGCCAAAACTAAACTGATTGAATCTTTGCGCAGCATAAAACGTACGATCATTCGGTACAATGGTCTGAAAAATCAGACTATAACTTATTGGTTCTATAGCTCCTAAGTCGATTCGACAACTAATAGTCGTTATTTTCCCACTTTTTTCATTTTCAAGCCCCCCCCCCCTTTTTTTTTTTTTAGGGAAGTTCTAAATTTAAATGCCGTTGGAATTTAACCTTATATAGGGACTTTTAGATTTGCGTTGACTGATACATGTGACGTCCATTCAAGGCAGTGCATTAAAAGGACGTCGATCGTAGCAATCCACGTTGTCGTTGTGCAAATCTAAAAGTCCCTAATGTCATTTCTGATTCGAATGCACTATGATTAACCCTTTGAAAGATTTACTTTGATTTTACATCACAATGAAAATGACAGCTGAAATGGATATCGGTCATTGTTCCGTATGCACTGCATGCCTACTGCCACGTGAGCATTTCCCTACTAAAATGATTGGATATTTGCCCCATTCTCTCTCGCACGCAAGGGCACTCTAAATCAGAAATGAAATTTGCATTTATGACTCGCAATTATCCACCCTCGATGTATTCAAAAGCTGTCCAATATATTATTTTCATTATGGGGCATTGGAGCAGACAGTTCCCGCTTTCATTATCGGCTCTTTATTTAACGAGGATGGGATTACGGTGAACGTAGCTAAGGCGGGAACGAGATGGATGTATGCGGTAATGTGTAAACTAATGCAGGGATTTGGAATTGTGCATACAAAGGAAGAAATCAAAATGGCCCGTTCGTAATCATCAAGTCTATTAATTTACTCTAGGTCTTTATGAAGCCCCCCCCCCCCCCCCTCTTGAAACGACTACTTTACACTCGCCGCTAATGGACTATAATTAATGAGCGAACCTTTCATTTCATTATCCCTTTCACCGCGGCGAACTGACACCAAACTGACACACATATACCGTGTGAGTCAAAAAAATAGTTTACACCTAGAAAATTGCTAATTATTTTTAAATCATCTATGAACAGTAATTTATTATACATCTTATGAAAGAGCGCTTTATCCCAAATCATTTGGTACCATTTATGTGTGGTATGTGTTCACGTTTGGATGAACAGGAGGCATTGTTTGCGAGAGTGCAAAAATCGACTTGCGCCAAAGTGTTGCCTGCAGTATGTGATATGTTGGGATTAAAGTGAGAGAATCACTTGAATGTATCAAACAAGATGCATTGCATATGATTTTCGCAAAAGCAAAGTCTCTCACACACACGCACACACGCGCGCGCAAAAATGTTCGTTGATATTTTATATACGATATTTGATATGACTGGCATCATTAACTTTGTTAGGGATGTTATTTGGATCTGCAATGACCGAATTAATACCCAAATCCCAATTGGCACAGTCGATTTTTGCACTCTCTCAAACAATGCCTCCTGTTCATCCAAACGTGAATACATACCACATAAAAATGATACTAAATGATTCGGGATAAGATATTCTTTCATAGGATTTTTTTATGATTTACTGTTCATAAATTATTTATAAAATAATTAGCAATTTTCTTGGTGTAAACTGTTTTTGACTCACACTGTATATATATATATATATATATATATATATATATATATATTATATATATATATATATATATATATATATATAATATATATATATTTATGTACATATTTGTTTTTTTGAATATGTTTATGGGAATGTGGTCGATCTGACATCATTTTGGCTCTTTAATGTGACTGGGGTTATCAAGTGCTGACCCCATATCCCCGAAAATTATTACTAAACCTATAAAATCGCTCCCCTTTGAAGTCATTAATGTTATAGAGAGAGTATAGCGGTGGCATAGCGTAGGTTCATCCATTGAGGGGCGCTCGAACAATTGGGGGCAGTGATCTTACTAGGGAGTGTGAATTTAAAAGGCTACTGATTATGGGAAGTGTGCGAGAGGGGTCCGGGCGTCTTCTTTTCTGGTCATTTTACACATTCCTTGTCCCTTTTACTATTTTTGATCGGGGGTTTTTCTTTTCTTTCGTTGTTCACTCCCGTGCCCCTGGAGCTTCGCCACTGGGGATAACGATGGTTCTCACTGTTTTATTCTGACAAGTCAAAAGACGAAAAGCTTCAGTTATAACTTAATTCAAAGCTGTTTTTCCTTCGACAAGGCTTCTATCCTAGACGAGGTGATTAATTCCTCTCTTCGTGATAATAGATGACGTGGGCATTCGTCGGTAGCACTACACTTCTATAATTCAATAATTGTTTCATTCATTGTGTTTTATCTTTATCTTATTTATTTATAAAACCAGATATTAATGAGGTGGATGAGGAGGGTAGCACACCCCTACACTGGGCCGTGGAGAGCGGACAAGCCAAGATCATCAATGCGCTCATTGGGATGGGTGCTAAGACAAACATACTGAACAAGTTAAAGATGGCGCCCCTTCACCTGGCGTGTGAGATCAATGGCGTGGACGCAATAGAGGTAAATGATTATTATAACATCAAATTGGAATTAAAACTTCTTTTTAATGAAATGTATCTTTATTCAAGTAAAGGACCTAAACATCTACTCTCTTTATCTTCACTAGTTCTCGATATTTTCTTCCTCTCTCTCTCTCTCTCTCTCTCTCTCGTACACACACACACAAAGAAACACACGCACGCACACACGCACACACTACACACGCACAAGCGCTGACCCACACACACATGTACATCAAACACACACGCGCTCACGCACACACATGCACCTATACACGATTGTGGTGTAAATCGAGGAATCATAATAGGAATTTAAACAATGAATAAAACGATTCAAAACTTTTAGACAAAGAGCGGACAGTTATGTGAGATATCTTGAAGAATTTGATTTATCAAATTTAAGAGCAACATCAAATGATTTAGGAACAATTTATTAGAGCAATATGTATTGTTAATTTGAAGGATGCTTCACATGAGTATGATTATACATATTAGAGGACATACATTTCTGTAAAAATATGACATCTTGAGGACGATTTGAAAATTTACTGCATAACCGAGGACCACACACACAAGCATACCCTCTCACACACGCACACACAAAAAGGTAATCTCTTTCCATTTTGTTTAAAACATTTGCTTGAATTATGTAATCTTACGGGGATACCTAACACAAACTCCTTCCTTCACGAGTTCGTATACATTATTCATAGAGTGCATTTATTCCTTAACTTTGTTATTGTTGAAATTTGTTAAAAATGTAATCTTTCAGTTATTTGTACCCTTTACTTATTATCTACAATGTTACTTTTTCGTAGTATATATCGAGCTGTAAACTTTCTATTTGGCCGATAATCCTATCATTATTAATTTATGATTGTTAAGTTGCTGCGTTCAACATTTGCAAATGTTCCCAATTGTGTTTTTTTGCTTCAAAATTATGTAAAATATCGGATTTTCTTTTCGAAGAAGGAAAGGCCTCTTCAAACAATAATTTCAAGAAAGTCATTGTAAACTCCTAAATGTTTGCAGTCTGAGAGACATTTCTACTAAATCGAATGCATTTTCAAATTAGCATTATATTTTTTTCTTTTCTTAGGCAATTTGTCGCCAGCCTGATTGTGAGATAAACATACGGGGAGAGTTCGGCCAAGTACCAATTCACTATTGTGCGATGAAAGACAACTTAGAAGCAGCAAAGAAACTGGTAAATCATTGTATTGCTAATTTTTCGGTGTTTTATTTTTTTTAATTTTTTATTTTATTTGTTTGTTTTTCTTCGTTTAAGTGATTGTTTTTATTTGTATTTGTTCTTTTAACGCACTATTAAAGAAATTCGTTTCCATGGGCATCAGCCGCATCACTGGTATGGCGGAGAACTAGACAGTAACAAATGTTGTTTCTTTACAACTAGTGGGAAATTCTGGTTTGTTGAAGAAAACAAATATATATATTTCATAATGTTGAACTACTATGTTCTACACACATTTGTTGCAATTTTATTTTTATTTTATTTTGTTTAATTTTTTTTTTTTTTTTTTTTTGGGGGGGGGGCAACCAAACAGTATTTCTTTAACTGCCTGTGCCATTCTATTTAGAAAATACTTAATCAAGTCGTTTCATATCGAATATCCTTTGAAGGGAGGAGAAAAGATCAATTTTTTCATAATGCTAGGCTTGATGGAGAACATATCAATTATTATTATTATTCACAAGTTTCAGTCTTCTTCTTTCCCTCAAAAGTAACTATCTAGGCAGAGAAAATATCTTGAAACCTGTGTGGACAAATCTCCATGTCAAAACCCTGTTATTTCTTTTGCCTTTTCACCATTTATTCATTATTTATTTACTCATTATTTTATTATTTACCATACGTTTTTTTTTCAAACCATTTTAGATCGAGTTTTCACCCATGCTTTGTATGAGTGATAACAATGGAGTGTACCCCATCCACTGTGCTGCTACACATGCCTCCAGAAAGGTACTGGATATACTTCTAACGGAAGGTAAGCTTTACGGGAGAATCGTTGTTCCTTTTGAAAAACTACTGAGTGCCAAGAATACGTTAAGTCATGGCTTGTCATACAACTCGTTATCTAATCTACGAAGTGTTCCGTTACGTGACCCAACATTTTTGTGAAATACCAATGTACATGTATCACTGTCAAACACGAACATCGAGGGTACTTAATTGACGCAGATTTTATCAAATTAAATGTAAAGGATCACCGAAAAAAGACTAGGAATGAAAGAATACTGCATGATTATCCAGCCATGATTTCGGGGGCCTTCATTAAGGTCGACTCTATCTGAAAGTGAGTCACCGGCCTGTAAAAAAACGAAATGTCAACGTAGATTAGATAGCTTGTATCTACGAACTTATTTCCAACGTGATTGCGTGAATGGTCATTACAGGCGTTACGTTATGTACTTTTAAACAAAGTTATCGCCCTTCCGGCCCTCAGAAGTATGCTTTTTTACCTTATGTAGTCAATTCTGAATGATGTAAAGTAGGTGTAAAGGTTCGGTCATCGTTGATATTTGTCTGTAAATGTTTAAATATCAATGCTTTTATTTGAAAATTATAGCTTTTAAACTAAAAGCAGAAATGTCCCGTGCAAGAATCTTTCAAGGATTTTTCTGAGGGGCCCAGATCTCGCGGAAAGTTCATCCCTTGAAACTTAATAAGCACAACACTGCAATACTATTTAACGTATCATCTATTTCTACTAATCCTTTGTAAGAACAGCGAAAAACAAAAATCACACAATTGCAAATCTATACGAATATAGTACCGTGTATCACCAAATTAAAGTGCGTGCGGACAGTGATTGTGTGCTTGTGTAATTATACTTATAAAGTGTTGTATAATCAAATGGGGGAGGATTTTCCCTTTAAATGTAAAGTTTTTACTTCTCTTCCTCTCAATTTCTACCTAAATGATGGATGCTCGAAACAGACAACTCGACTTTATTTGAGTTAAAATGAAAAAACTGCAAATTTCGATTAAATACCTGTCCTCGATTAAAAGCGAAAGAAGACTGTACAAATATTAGATGGGTAAAAGTGGACAATTGTAGACACGTATCAGAAAACACTGTTTGTTATTATGGTTTTATCTGGGTCAGAAAATTGACAATATACTTGACTTTATTGGTACCAATGAACAGAGGCTGAGTGGTCATTTTATCATGGTCTTAGTGTTTGTTTACTCTGTGGTTGAGTTTAGATGGCAAATGATTCATTTAAATATAGAACAAGTAGCCTACTTCACGATTTGTATGAACAAAATGTTGATTCTTTCTCAGTTGTATCGATTCTAAGGTAGGAAAATTGACCGATATTACCTCATTTTACCTCATTTTAAGTGTTTCGGCAAGCGGAGACTGAGTAGGCCTTTAAATCATGCTTGGTCATAGTGTTTACTCTGACTGTGTTTAGATGGCAAAATGCTTTTAGCTAAAGCACGAACTCTTTTCATACATGTATTGCGTTCATGACTAAAACTATATCACCAGTATACTTCCGTGTTTTTCATGAGATGTTAGAATAAAGATTTAATATTTTCACACTATTTTGCAAAGGATTCAGACAAAGAAATGTTGTTTAAGGTGAAATGCAGTACCAATGGCATGAAGTAATCACACATATTATTATAAAGTTATTAACTGAAAATCTGTACTTGCATTTGCACATCGATTAACAAAATGAATGAAAAGACATGGTACGCGGTTCGAGTCCCACCGCGGCACTAATGTCATTAGCATTCATTATACGCAACGGATAGTGTTTACATAATTTATATTCATATATATATATCAATATAATTATAGTTATTAAAAAACATAATTTCGATTCAGGTTTAATCCCCGACTAATGCTCCGATTTATGAACCGCCGAATTTATAATCCCGACCAATAAAACCATAATTCTACCACTGAATATTTTTTTTTAATACTTAGAAATACAAAATTCAATCAGGATCGCAGACCAATATGAATTAACTAACCAATAACTACTGACGCCTGACTTTAAAGTTGCTTTAATTCTGACTAAACGTAACTTTCATATTTATAATCGCGCCGTCTAAACACCCCAGCCTGTTTGCGCAGGCGCCAAAGCCAAGTATCAAGTAACTATCTCCATTGCAATCAGTGGAAATATCACATCACATCGGTGTATTTACTCGCTTCTCATGTTTTGACAGTCCTACCTATTAATCTGCTTAATGAAGAACGTGATCCTTTTGGAGTATTGACTGATTTGACCAATTAGTAGGAGGGGCTTGTCTCGCTGCTAAGAGGCGCCGAGTCCAATGTTTTGACTAAACAGAGTTGTCTGTTAGCTGTGTTCGTTAGGTGATTATGGTGATTAACGGATGATGTTTTGAACTTGTGATTAGACTTTCTTCATCCATTTCCAAATACAATGTTGACAAGAGCGCCATTAAGGGGAAACCCTAAGCCTAGTTAATATCAGCGTTTCAATATGTGTGTTTGTAAATAGTGAACTATAATCTTGGCATCTGAAATATAAAGCACGTAATTGATGCATTTCAAAGTGAACCGTAATTATCAAACCATATAACACAAATGTAATATGTATATATCATCGAGTAGCACAAAACGTATGCAATAAATCATATGATTTGAACAAAACAATGCAATAATGATAATGATAATGATAATAATATTAATAACAATAACAATCTTAATAATAATACAAATCATAAAATATTAGTAAAAATAATAATGATAATACAGATGATGATAATAAGAATAATAATGACAATAATAATGATATGGGTTTAAGTTTTACCTTACATTATTTTGTTTTCTTTTCAGCAAAACTTTATTGTAATTAAATATCATGCTTTCCATTTCTAATTTGTCCAAAGTAGCTCAAATGGAAAGGGCTAAAAGAAGGAAAAAATGATGGCCGATGAGAGTCGATAAAATATGATTATTTTTTTTTTTATCCCTTTCTCTTCTTAAAGGTACTATGTCCCATTTGCAGGCCCAAAAAATGAAAAAAATTAAATTCCAACTGCATTTGAAAGATAATAGTTATTTAGAACTTCCCTAAAAAAGGTAAGGCTTGAAAATGTCTTCAATTGGGAAAGTAATGACTATTAGTTGTCAAATCGACTGTAGGGCTATAGAGCCCAAAAGTAATAGTCTTGATTTTCAGACAATTGTACCGAATGGACATACGTTTTATGCTGCGCAAAGATTCAATCAGTTTAATCTTGGCCATCACAAGAAGTGGGTTATCAATGTAGACAAATGCTCATGTACCCTTTACAACTCTTTTCATGTATGTTATTACCAAAGAAGAAAACAAGCCAGTCAGTCACTCAATAGTGTCTGACAGTGAAGTTTAGCAAGTAAACGGGTTTCCTTGCATAATTTGAATATGAGGACACTGCTAACGTTTAAATTTCACAGATAGGACATGCATGATATATTCATAATTCTTGCAAAGTTCTACAGAATTTGTGGTTGGCTGCAAAAGGTACATAGTACCTTTAAAAGGTGATATGAAAATAAACATCCACATGAATGACCACATCAACGATTCAATCAATAAATATTTAAATGAAAAAAGAGTAAAGCGAACATGGCAATTATTGGCAAGGTGTTGACAAGCTATCTTCCATACAGTAAAAATCGTCTTAAAGTATGATATGCGTTTGCACGTATATCACATTTTAAGTCAAATATAAGAAAGAGGAAGGAATCACGAATTGATCATTGAAAGCACAAGAAATTCGCAAAATCTTAAACATACATGGAGCGGGAGTTTGCACAGGTGAGTCATGTTCACGTTGCCAAAGAAACTAAATCGATTTCCTGTCGTGAAAAAGGGTGGAAAAGATTTCACATTCATGTTATATATAGATTAAATGTTTGCTTACGGGATGATAGAGGGGGGGGGGAGGGTGTAAAGGGGTATTTTTTATAAGCAGCTACCAGAATATCAGCATTGCATCTAGAACTTTTTACCATAACAAGATTATCATTTGGTTGGTTGTTTTTATTTTATGCATATGTATAAGTATGCATGAGGTAGCACTAACCATCATCAATATTTATCCTTCATAATATTGTCTAACATAACTCTTTAAAAAATTATGAAATATCGCGTGTAAACCGGGGTGTAAACTTCTTCAAATTTCCGTTTTAAATCAACTCTCATGATACACAACCTGTCCGGACACACAACGTCTGGGTTTACTATTGTCGTTATTCTTATTGCATGATTATTATAGTAATTATTGTAGTAATCTTTCGTAAATGTTCAATAACCAAACTTTCGTCCCGAAGGTAAAAACTTGGGCTACACCCGTGAAGCGCTTCTCAACCAAAAAGATAAAGAGAAATGCACGGCTCTACACTCAGCCGTGAACGGAGGGAGCGAAGACGCGGTAGCAATGTGCCTAGAATATGGCGCTTGCCTGGATATACAGCAGGTATACACCGAGTTAACTCATTAAGCTGGGACCCACTGGAAATGCAATTTGAGAGGAACTGGTAATTGTTTGGTTGTAGGGAAAGTAGTGGTGTAACTGTTGGGGCACGTGTCCCAACACCAAATCAAATACATATTTTTAAAATATATGTGATAGGACGCTTTGCCTATTCATCGGTATAAATGTTGAGTTTGTTTAATAATCGGAATCTTATCTGGCTGGTGCACCAATGATTTCAATACCCATTTAAACCTTTAATACTCCACCACGAAGCGAAGGATATGGATATGAGATCATGAAGGGACACTTTTCCATGCCACTATTCCCCAATGCACAATCCATCAATGTATTTCGGCAAATTTGTTTTAATTTCAATTTGATTTCTGCCACGTGCAGGGCTCAGGAAATGCCACCAAAAAGTTACAGTGAATGTCTTTACAGATGGACTTTAATCGCTTTGATTTCCCACAATCAGATCCTTACCAGCACCTCTCGATTTGTAACATCAGTGGGCTCTTTTTATAAATAACAACTTTGTCTTTTCTAAGCAAACCATATTTCCTCATTTCCCCCTTCCCATATATTCCCGAAGCCGAAAAATGTGGCTACGAGCGATGGCAACTCTTGAGTTTTACAGACAAGGAGAAGAACACAGCGCTGCATTCAGCTGTGAACGGTGGTTGTGAAACGGCCGTACAGGTGTGCTTAGAATTTGGCGCCAAACTGGATGTGCAACAGGTATAAAATTCATGGAGATGGTCCTGTCGTCTGCACTTTGTTTAATCCACTGTTGATTGTACGTTTAATGTTTAGCTGATATTAGTGTCCATAACTTTATCATCTCTTCTTATTTATGTATATATTAGCTTGCACTTATAGTTTTGTATCAACTTTCAGTTAACCCTTTCAGATGTTAAGTTGATCAGTTTCGTAATCATCATCACATACATGTATATTATACGAATGAATATTTTGGAAAGTAATGAATCTGTCTATACGTCTCATCTTGAATTGGTCATTATATTTATATTTGAATCTGTTCGTGATTAGACCCATATACAGGTAAGATTGTTTTGGGATATAATATCATGATTTCTCTATCCGAGGGTGGTGGAAACCCTCCCCACCCCTACCCCGCTCCTTACACACACACACGCGTGCGCGCGCACACCCACACTCACATCGACAAGCCTAAAAATAGCATATCTGAAATAGGTATACGAATAACACCAAGATATGTGTCCTATAATGTGCCCTCCTGTAGCACATCAAAACCGCATTAAGAACCTCCTCCCCCCCCCCCCCCAAAAAAAAAAACATTTGGGGGCTGCATGCTCGTCAAATATTTTTCGGACTTACATGTATAGCCCTTATATCCGGGATCCGAGATTGATTGAATCTATTGTAAAATCTCTGCACATTAAGCTACATAATTTCTTCATGAAATGGATGCACATTTCTGTGAAAATGTAAAAGGTTTTGGACCTCTCGCCTATGCACACACACAGATTAAGGAAAGAGAGCATGTCTTCTCGTGTCTCTTATTCTCTGTGATTTCCCTAATGGCACCTCCTGTTTTCAGTTAGTCGTATGAACGACTGATATGCGTTTCTCGATAAAAGAGCCCATAAATTAACGTTTCTTGGGATCAAATTATCAAGTAAACTTCAGTTTATTTTCGAGAACACTTAGGGTTTTTATTCAAGTATCTACCCTGCCATCTTCGTTAATGTCTAGATCTTCTGACTGTGTTTGATCTTCTTAATGTGAGTGATCTACGTACATTGATTGAGAACCTTTCCATTACTGACATCATGGTCATTAGCAGGGGCGGTCCAGGGGAGTGTTTCACAAATATTAAGATCGACTTTAAGTTGTACATAACTATGGCAGGCTGTTCATGCCACTGTTTGTTCTCACCGTTTACTGGTATTGGTCTCTCAACGGTGGTGCAAATCGTGGTAACAAATCTACAGAATTTCCCTTTTTTGATAGTTCATTATTGAAGGAAAAAATATTATCTAAAAATCGTAATGGAGAGACCAATGGTGAGATTAACCAGTGGCATGAAGTCAAACTTAAATTCGATCTTAGTCTTTGTGAAACATCCCCCATGATTCTGTAAACATAGGGGTGGGGCTAAATTCAGCAAAGTGTCTTGTACTGGGAGTCATGTTAAACGACCACTCGTGTAAACAACACTAATGCGTTCCACTAGAAGAGAGCCCTTGAATGATGATTTTTAAATAATAAATACTTTCGAGCAGATGATTAGGTCCACTAGCGTAATCTATTCCGCCATCTTAGTAAACATGCCTAAAAGGTCTACCGTGTTTTTATACTTGATGTAGTTGATTTACTATAGTTGATTAAGTGTTCTCCCAGTACTGATATCGCGATCATTGGCAGGGGCAGTTCGGGGATTCTTTGAAACAGGGATGGGGTTAAATTCATGAAACTGTCTTATACGGGGGGCGTGTTAAGCAATTACTATTGTAAACAACAATTATGCGGTATTTGCAATAAAAGATCAACGAATTAGGTTTCTTGGGGTCAATTACGTTAATACATAAGTACTCTCTATAGGTGAGAGGAAGTGATAGGTTTGTATCCATGTATCTACCCTATCATCTTAGTAAGCATGTCTAGATGGCCTTCTCATTGTGTTCATACCTCTTAATGTGAGTGGTCTACTAATATTGTTAAAGTACTCTTTCATTACTGACATCATGTGATTATCCACAGGAGCGGGTCCAGGCTTCTCCAAAATAGGAAGGGACTACTACTTCCGCTTTTTGTTTTCATCTTTTTGGGAGGAAGGGGTGGCAGATGGGAATGGATGTAAATTGTATAATTATGTTGATATGTTTGTACCTCGTATTGGCATTATACTTTTGAAAATCAATAATTCTGTTTCTTTTTCTTTGTGGAATACGTACATTTTATATCAAAGTTTTAGGATATTTCTGTTTACATTCTAAGATAAATATTAGCATATATAAACTATTTTTTAGTCATTATAATACATTTTAATATTCTATTTGAAATGCTTTTCTTTTTTTACTCATCGTTTCCATGACGAACAGGATAACAAATGCACCCCGCTCCATCTTGCCTGCGGACAAGGAGCATTGCGCATCGTGGAGATTATGCTGTCAAACTATAAGACGGAAAACACACTGGAAATGCAAGATATAGAAATGATGACCCCACTACACAAGTAAGAACTCGCTTGAGCTATAGAGAAGTTTAGAATAAAGGAACTTGTGTGAGAGGGAAATGAGAGCGGGATGGGGAGAAGGGAGAGAGTTGGAGAAGTGATTACGTTGTCAAACTATACGAGACTGAAAAATCATTGGCAATGCACAATATAGAAATAATGACCCCGCTTCAGGTAAAAATAGCATGGTAATAAAACTTGAGGTATATATTTATAAAGAAAGGTAAACACGGATTGACATGGTTAAAAGGGGAGTGGGTAGCAGAATGGTTCTAAGAAATGTGTAAATTGTCTGATTATTCATTCACTGTCTAGAATGAACATAGAACTTGCCTACATAATACAGATTATGTATATTTTCGGGAAATATTAGTAGACAAGTCATGGCAAAGTCTGTTTGCAGAAAAGAATATAAATATTTCGACTGTTTTGTAGCAGTAGGTCTAATCGACAACTGGCTTCATACCATGTTTCAACGTGTTTAATGCTTTTGATACTTCTAATCACACAGGGCCGCTATGTTTGATCACATCGATGTCGTCAAGTACTTACTAGAACAGGTAAGTTGTGTACTGAATCAAACAAATATTTGATTTTGTGTTTGATATAAGAATATATTTATTTCCAGTTGATTTTATAAAGAAAAGTATAGATAATCAAGCTTTTACAAAATGCAGACAACATGTACATCAGATAATGTTTTTTTCAGTAAATACTTGAAGAGATGGTGGATAAGTCTTTCGAAACTGTACAGCCTAATTAAATAATGCTTTTCGTAAAAGCAATCTAGCTTTCTCTCTCTCTCTCTCTCTCTCTCTTTCTCTCGACTCCATCCCCCCGCTCTCTCTCTCTCTCTCTAATTTTGCTTCATTTGTTTTTCTATATCATTCTCTATCTCGCCATCTCTACCATTTTGTCTACTTACTATCCTCAATCCATTTTTTTTTCTTTCCGTAATTTCATTTTCCATCACTTTTTCCAGTCTCTGTCTCCCTTTCCGCTCCCATCCATCCTCCCACATTTATCAATTCCCTATTAACCCTTTTCCGGCCATTCTTAAACGATACATTTTCTGCGTTTCTGTCTCATCCCAAACTCAAGGGCGCAGACATGGACGCCGAGGACATCGAAAATCGCACGCCGCTACTCCTGGCGGCCTCGAAGCGAGCATGGCGGTCTGCACGGCACCTCCTCTCGAAAGGCGCCAATCTTTTCGTCACAGACGCCGAAAGTCGTAACGTTCTACACATCGCCATCATACACGGCGGAAATATTAAAGAGCTCAAAGTCTTCGCTAACACGCAGGTAGGTTCAAAGGTCATCAAGATGAGGCACGGTTGCATTGAACTTTAATTTAACTGTCAAGCAGGCCTTATCAAACGAAAGCTCTACAGTGAGATTAGAATTTCAAAATACATCAATTTAAATGTTTTTATATTATAATGGTCAGATTATTATTTTGCGCAGTTTATCAAAAATGTCTGTTTTCCTTAATTTTAATGATTTTTTTTTCTCTGAAATGTTTTTACTATTTACTATTTGCAATTTATTATTTCCAATATTTACATTCATGTGCATTAATGGGATATTTACATTTGATTCATTTACATTTGATACATTTACACTTAATAAATACATTTGATTCATTTACATTTGATTCATTTACATTGGATTATTTTACATTGAAAACATTTACATTTGATACATTTACATTGGATACAATTACATTCATTTACATTTGCATTCGATACATTTACATTCTTTTACATTTTATTCATTTAGGATACATTTCCATTTGATACATTTATATTTGTTTTATTTACATTTGTTTCATTTACCTTTGATACATTGGCATTTGATACATTGGCATTTGATTCATCTATAATTATGATACATTTTTTCCTCAAAATGATTCATGAAATTGTACAGTAAAGGTAAGTTACACGCCTAATGCATATCAATCAGATAAACATTAAAAATCACTCCTAATTATTGAACAAGACTTTGGATTTCTTAAAGAAACAAATATACACTTTAAATAAGTAATATACGATTCTCACTTCATCGTAACACATTTTCTCGCAGGACACGTTTGCGAGCCTTCTGAATGAGCGAGACTCTCACGGCTGTACACCGATGCATTACGCTACACAGCGAGGTAACATCGTATGTGTAGAAAGCCTGATTGATCTCGGAGCTACGGTCAATCTCAAAAACAAGGCAAAGCAGTCCCCTCTTCACTTCGCCGCTAGGTAAGTTCTAGATGTCTTTGTATCATAAATGAAGCAATCAGTTGCATGTCCACGATTAGACCCTAGGGTGTGCCACTATATTTTTGATTTTATTTTTGTAAAGCAACACACTAAAGAAAGAAAGTAGGGTTGTGAAGGTAATTGGACTGTCGATCACAAGGTTCGCGGTTCGAGTCCCGCCGCGGCACTAATGTCCTTTGGGAAGATATTGATCTACAGTTGCCACACTCAACCCATGTAAGGTAAATGGGTACCTGGTAGGATTATTCCTTGAAATGCACCGTGCGCTGATAAGGCTGCCGGAGCTTTAAAGCTAGGATAATAATTTCCAAAGCTCTTTGGAAGCGCATAGAGATGTTATTTCATGACGTATTATGCGCTATACAAGAACTAAACTATTAGTATTATTATATCACTGCAGTATCTCTCCCGCCCTCCCTCACTCTCTCAATCTCTCTCTCTCCCTCTCTCCTCCTCCTCCTTCTTTTCCCTATCTCTTTAATCCCAATACATTTGACCTTTCCTCTCTCGCTATAAATGTCCTCCTGTTTAAAAATATACCTCCTTGTCTATACGTTTCTCTTGAATTGGTTCTGTATGTTCACATCTACCTCTGATTACTCTCTCTCTCTCTCTCTCTCTCTCTCTCTCTTTCCCCCTCTCTCTCTATCTCTCTCTCTCACACACTCTCTCTCTCTCTCTCTTTCTCACTCACTCTCTCTCTCTCTCTCTCTCTCTCTCTCGCTATCTATCTCTCTCAGTCACACTCCATTTCTCTCTCTCTCTCTTTCTCTCTCTCTATTTCTCACTCTCTTTTTCTCTCTATCGATATCTCTCTCTCTCTTTTTTCTCTCTTACTCTCTCTATCTCTCTCTCTCTCTCTCTCTCTCTCTCTCTTTGTCCCTCTCTCTCTCTCTCTTCTCTCTTTCTCCCTCTTTCTCACTCTTTCTTTCTCTCTGTGAGAATGGCTCTCCAATGCAATATACTATATTCATAGATATCTCCTCCATTGTTTTCATTAGATACGGACGACTGAACTCCATCAAGCGACTCCTGGATAGCAAGATAGGACCGAACATCATCAACGATACAGACGGAGAGGGGATGACAGCCCTACACATCGCCGCTCTGTTCGGCCATCAGAAGGTGGTACAGCTGCTGCTCCTCAGGGGTGCTCTGCTACACAAGTAAGGGCGATTTAGATTCAAATGTGCGTCATATGACGCGTTTCGACGCGTTTCAGACCAAGGCTTGTCTGAACCTTGGTCTGAAACGCATTGAAACGCGTCATATGACGCACATAAACCTAGGTTAGTCGACAAACCTCCTTTGTGAATTCGGGCCTTTGACTGTCTACCATTATGAAATTGAGAAGAAAAAAAATCTGCGTTTACATGAAAGAATTCCCAGGTTTAGTATCAATCACGAGTGGAGTTCTTAAAGCCACTTAGTAGTCTATGTGTCCTGTATCCGGACACCTCCGCCCTGGACATCCACCCCCAGTCAACTATCCCCTAGGACAACTACCCCTTGTAATGCATCATTATTCGCTGACACCAGATTTGCTTGAATTAACAATTCGTGTGTCTGTTCATGCAAAGGTCTCTGAACCAGTGAACCTGTGGTCCCTCCAACTTGCATCTATCCCGAGGGTTTGGAAAATTCGATTAAAATATGATGAGAATTCCATACTGCGGTAGGCTGGGGCACAATGCATGACAAGCGGCTTGCCTGTCTTTAAAGTGAAGTCCACTCTTGGTGACTGACTATACCTGTTATTGCGTAAACAACCGAATGGTGCCAAGTTCCCCAGCTCAAAGTTTACTTTTCTCAATGTTCCACACTTTCCTTTTCAAGTGAGAGACGAATTTCAGGTAAAGTTTAGCGTGGCACTGTTAAAGGGAACCAAAACATTCACACTAAGTTACTTTTATTGTAAAGTTTAAGATATTTGAATAAAATCAGTGGAAATGTGAACAAAATCGGGCAAGGAATAAGGAAGTTAAAGCTTTTTGAAATGACTAGTCACTAGAGAGCGATATTCAATTTGATGCGTCATTGTGGACAGCTCTCCATGCCTTTCGTTTTCTTCGTATTTATATGTGTTCTTGATCCGACTTCATAACATGTGAAGTAGAATATCATTTTGCATTCTATACCTTGCTTCAGGGGAGTAGATTATCTCAATCACAAGAAAGAAGGAAAAACATTTTGGTTCCCTTTAAATGCAAATGAGTTACATTTGAGTTTGATATTACGTTGTATTTCAGGGACTATAAAGGCAGAACGCCGTTCCACCTGGCTGCCATGGGCGGGTACAAGGAAACCATGGATATCCTGTATTCAACACATGGACATCTGCTGGACCAAACCGATGACTGTGGGGTGAGTACAGCCTTTAAAGGGGAATTCCCCCCCCCCCCCCTCCCCGGATACTTTGCTGGTTATAAAGCCTATCTGCACTTGTTGGCCAGGAGGGATTAGACCTTCCTGCGGTGCGTGGTCACTAACAGGTGGTTATCTCATCAAATCAGCTCTCAATTAAAAAAAGAAAAGGGGAACCATGGGGAACCAACGGTCACCACTTAGGCATTGCTTGCTAATTAGAGGGCGCAAGTAGCTATAAGTAGTGTATTTGGGCTTTAATAGAAGTAGATAAAATGAGATAAACAACAGCTATTTTCCCCTAAGCTTGGCACACGTGTTTACTTCATTTGCCCCTTGCTACCCAAGTTTATTAAATGATTCCCTGGCAACGATGGGGTAATAATAATAGTAGCAGGGCCTGGGTAACTAAAACTTAATTATTGTTTTCATTATTATTATTATTATGATTATTATCATGATTATTATCATTATTACTATTACAACCATCATCATTAATATTATCAATATTATTATTATCAAATTTAAATTTTCTCTTCCTTCAACCGTGAACAATGTAGAACGCACCAATCCTGCTCGCGGCCCAGGAAGGCCAGATTACCGCTGTGACATACCTTCTCGATCACGGGGCCGCTGTCGACATCGTTAACTGTGCCGGCGATGGTATCATGGACATCGTCTTTGACACGCATAATAAGGACGTTGCAATCGCCATCGTTCTACATAAACGGTAAGCTTGATAAGTTTGACGATGACGAGGTAGTTTTCATGGTAGTAGATGCAATTTGAAAATTATCCGAAGAGTAAGTTATTAAGAAACCAATACGAGAATGGTACGTATTCCACTTATTTGTGTTTATGTTGTTGTTCTTTTTTCTTCAAGATGCTGTTATCCATAGCAGATTAATTGGATAGTTAGTAACTAGGGCAGCGTTTCACGAAACCGTCATAAGTACAAGTTCGTCGACAGCCCATTAAAATCCGTGTATTAAATTTAGCAAGTGTTTAAATAGGATGTCGGTTGAACTGTACTTCCGACGCTTTCGTGAAACGATACCCAGAGGTCCTAGAAACATGCACAAATTAGAAAACATGATGTCTGTTGCCCTTAGAGCAAACTTGACCTTTAAAGGGAGGTATTCTGCTGACACTACATGTACTTTAGATTTACATAGGATGTCATCTGCTGCCCACAACGTCTCGATGTGTCGACAGCCATGTCCCACAATGCATCACCAACTTGATGGTGCTTGTGTACAGAAACCGTAAATCGCTCTGTGTACGCCTTCACCGAAAGATGGCGCAATATAAAATGCATTATAGCAGTCGTAGCGATATTGCCTTTGATGCCGGACCACTCTTACATTGCAATATTTCACGTGATATTAAAATTATGCTGGATATAAAAGAGACTATATGTAAATGTAAATTGGTATTACTTTTGTTTTCTATTTCCTCCCAGGTGGGATGAGCTATTGATATGCACAATGAGTGATACGAACCCGATAGCTCGACTCATACAACATATGCCCGATGTATTCACGGTAAGATCTACATTATTATATAGATTTCCTTTGTTTGGATTGCTGTGCGTGTGATATTATAGATAGGCCTATGTTGACTGCTATGAGAGGTGTCGCTGTTTTTATAGGCTCAAGGGGACGTTATATCCTGATATAACCCCGGGGCGCGCCGAGGGTTTATCCCCGAGAGCCAGTATAGAAACAGCTATGCTTCGAATATTATAGCAGTCCATTTATCTTTAATATACCGAATTCACAAACAAATCTACAAAGAATTCTTACCTTATCCTTTTCTTGAGTAAAGACTGGTTAAAACATCACATCAAATCGGAAACACTGCCTGTATATCTTCGCTTGAAAGTTGCCTGAAAGTAGCGATCATTCGGGAATCACAGACAAAAAGCACTGTATGGTACGCTCGCACAAAGAAACTTTTAACACGTAAACCAATGGGGATCTCAGCTAAATTAATTTATATGGCCCGTTACCCGGTGGCCACGGCCATCTTTTATTAAATTATTGACCGGTAGGCGGGCATGGCTAAAATCACGACTCCAATTTCGACCAATCAGATGACTAGATTTAATTCAACATACTAAAGAGAGGTATATAAAGTGATCATATACTAAATAGGTATTTGGTAGGAAGACATTTCTTGAATGCGTGAGCACGGCATCATAGTAGGCTTAGCTTGGCTAAAAACTAGGATAATAATATAATCACAGGACCCTCACTTTCGATAATGATGAGGCTACCCTTGGTTAACAGACGTATTATAAAGATTGATATAATCATTGCTAGTAGGCCTAGTAGGCTAGTAGTAGTAGAAGTAGTAGAAGTAGTAGTAGTACATGTATTATCATTATTATTATTATTGTTTTATTATCATTACTAGTTCATTATCATTATGACTATTATCAATATTATCATCATAATTATTGTTGGTTTCAATATTATTATTATCATCACTATTATCATAACTATTTTTATCATTATCATTATTATCATCATTATTATTGTTATTATTATTATCATTATTATTTGTATTATTATTATTATTATCATTATTATTATAAAGTACATGCAGCTGACTGTTGTAAGTTTAAGATTAGAAAACCTTTCAATGACTGTAATTTGCTGTTTATTCCACAGAAAGTGTTGGATCGCTGCCAAACAGTTTCCGATCTCGAGCCCGGACATCCCGAATACTGGGTAAGTCGTCTCAATTTGTGGTGATGATGACGAAGATGACTATGCACTCGCATACGTACACGATGATGAAGCCGAAGATTAAGTTGATGATAACAATGAGGTTGATATGATAATGCTACAAACGTAGGTGGTGATGATGATGATGATGATGATGATGACGACGACGATGATAATAATGATGAGGTTGATGATGAGGGTGGTTATGTAGTAGCGGTGATGTTAGTGGTGATGATGATGTTTATAATGTTAATGTCGAGGGTGATAATGATAATTATGATGATAATATTGATAACGGCAGTTATGTAGCATGACGGCAATAAGGATGACGTTGATGGTGATATTAACAAAAATGATTATAGCAAACGTGGTGATGGTAATGATGGTGGTGATGGCGATGACGACGATGACGGTGACGTTGTTAATCATGAGCATCATGATGATGGTAGAAATACCGTCCTGTAATTTCCACCCACTGCTAATCACTAAATGGCATTTCAAATCACAATGTGCGCGTTTGAATTGACCTCATTGCAATATTAAGAACTAATGTACTATTTTTTGTTTTAATTTCCCTTTTGTATTTCAGAGACGATATGATTTCAAATATCTGCAGATTCCGGTGAAATGCCGTCGTAAATGGCTCAAGGACTACAGTGTTCTTTATCCTCTGCCTACCTTGAATGTAAGTCATTATCTCATAAAATATTCATATTTATGCATGTTATTTTTGTGTTAAACAACATGTTATTTTGCTCCAGGAAACAATTTTTCAGCTATACGCATATTATCCACAGATAATCACTGAAATCCATTACTTTTTTTTAATGTGATTTTACTTGCTTAATTGCTTGCTTCTCTGAGAAAATTTCCCCTCCCACGTTTTAAGAGCGATTTCTGCACTCTTGTTTTCCAAAAGTGTTTAGTGGTGAATGTATCTCAATTTATTTAAGAGATATGCTATCAGTGGAGTAATGACCATAACGGTGATAAAATAGTAATACTCTTCATGAAATTACTAGTAGTAATGATACATGGAATATTCAGGATAACAATGCTGTTATCAATGTTTTGTTGCTTCTTTTTCTTCTGTTATTTATTTCTAAATGATCAATGCATCTTCTTGTCTACATTAATAAGGGAGTTTACAGATAGCACATGGTACAAATGACCCCAAATATCCACAGATCTTTTACACATGGAGAAGTTCCACTTTGAGTATCATCGAATATATGTACCGTTGGTGCATATAAACTGAATAATGTTACATAACTTTCATGAGCGCATATCCAGTATTCATCTCTGTGGGTTTTACCATTTTGGTACAAATAACCTTTATCTGCCCATGCGCAGATAGTATCTGTAAACTCCCTTATAGTCGTCAAATAATATTCGTTGGATAGTGTCCCCTTAGATCAAGATTAATGTATCTTGATCTTCGAAGTAGTTGCTACAACTATGCATCTATCAATGCATCTCCTTGTCTACGTTAATACTCGTCAAATAATCTTGATCCCAATGAATATTATTTTATTTGATGTGTCTGTATTTCATGATTTGTTTCAACAGGCTATGGTGAAGTATAATCGTGTGGAGCTTCTAAGTCATCCCGTCTCTATCAAGTATTTGGACATGAAATGGTAAATAATGATATTAGACCCAAACCAAGAATATTCCCAGAACAAAGTAGAATAGTCCACATTATGAACATGACGGACATAGAAAGAGGACAAAATATACAGTTCCTCATTCTACCCTCAACAATTGCTGTGGTAGACAAAGGAACATCCCTTTACTGATATTATTTAAAAATGTGTAGAACAGGTGAATATGCATGTGACACCTGTTCTACACATTTTTACATTATAGCAGTGAAGGGATGTTCCTTTGTCTACCACGGCAACTGTTGAGGGTAGAATGAGGAACTGTATATTTTGTCCTCTTTCTTTGTCCTTCATATTCATAGTGCCAACTACATATCAAATCATCTTCGACTAAAAGAAGGCAAATAGAAAGAAAAAAGCAAACAAAAAAACGCTAGTCTTAGCAATGCGTCCAGACGTTGGTCAAACTTAATCATTTCCATTTCCGTCACCCCGGTCATAGCTGCGGCAGGAATAGAAATGGAAAATTACTCTTTTCGTTGATGTATAATATATGTATATAATATATAATATATATATATATATAATATATACATATGCTTACATGTTTACATTATGAGGAGGCGCGATAGCTCAGTCGGTAGAGCAGTGGTCTCGTATTCCGGTGACCCGGGTTCGGAACCAAGTCAATGCGCTAGTGCCCTTTGGTAAGGCGTTAATCCTCATTACCAGGTCCCTCGGAGAGGACCTAAATCCGTCAGCCGTCTGGTTACTTAATCACAAGCATTTATGCTTTCTTACTTTATTTTCCCTCGACTTTGCAGGAAGGCATACGGGGCCATGATGCACACCCTCTACACCTCGATATACCTGGTGTTCTTGGCCATACTAACCAGTTTCGTATGCACGACCGATCCGAGACCACACCATAACGTGTCAATGACCGGCCATCCTGATCTTCATATCAAAAGAAACGCGGTATGTATGTATGTCTTTAGGTAGCCTTTAAACAAGGCCTCACGTCTGATAGATGCCGAGCGACTAAAAAGAGACTAATCGCGAAAACCCGTGTGAACGCCAGAGCGGCTAAAGCCACTAGTTCACCCCGGGTCTCAAGACTCATCTCAGCCGCTGATTGGGGTGGAAAATAGCCAGAGTCACGAGGCCTTGTCAAAAGGCTAGTCTTTAGCTGACTTATTTTAAAGAATATCGTTTTCAAGGTATCTTCACCACAGTGGAGATGATATAATGAGGAGGAAGATGATGATGATGATGGTAGTGGTGATGTCGGTGGTGTATGATTACGATGGTGATAGCGGTAATGATGGTTTAAATATGATGATGATGATAATGATGATAATGATAATGATCATGATGGTGATGATGGTGAGGAAGATGAGGATAATGATGATGGTGGTGGTGATGATGACAATCAATCCTAAACCTAAACATCAAAACATTCAACCAAGCCAATATTTCTACGAAGAGAAACGAGGTTCTTATTTTACATTTCACATAGAAAAGGTCTTAATCTTATTTTTAAATATATAATATTTTATCTGTATCCGATAATGATGATTATTATTCTGATGATGATGATGAGGATGAGGAGGAGGATATAGGTGATAGTGGTGGCGTTGATGATAACGATGATGACGATGAATTTGATGATGAAATGAATGCATGTATTATGATGCCTAAATAATGGCTATGGTTCATGCTTTATAATTAGACTCAATTGGTTATGTTATGCTTCTGCTATAAGACGTGTCAAAAACATATTTATTCTTTATGTTTTAATATATTTTTTTTTTAATTTTATAATTTCTCATTAAACATACGGTAGACAGTAATATAATATGTATATGCGGCATTGAATAGAAGTAGCAAATATTTGGTGGGCCTACTTTGATCTGTAAACTTCTCACTTCATCCATTTCTTGTTATTCTGTAGCTCACGGATTTCCAGTACATCTGCGTCATAATTATCATTTTCTACTGCGGGGTAAACATAATCAAAGAATTTCTGCAACTCTCTCAGCAGGTAGGTATATGTTGTTGAATCAAATGACATTGTTCCAATCAATTTGAGGTTCATCACAAGTTCGTTCAAACATGGAGCAAGGGATGAAGGTCATCTCTCCCCCACCCCCTCCCAACGACCGAATCAGTTTCGAGACAATAACAAAGTAACGCCTACGAATTTAACAAAAGTTAACAAAATCTGAATAACCATTCTGCTTTGAAAGGCAATGCAAAAGAGATTGTCTGGTACAATCGTTGGGGCACAATTAGTAGTAGTAGTAGTAGTGGTGGTTATTTTACCTGACTGCCAAGAAAGCATAAATTAAGTTTGGTGTTTACGTTATGTTTGTTTTAATGTCAGTTTAGGCTTTTCTTTGTCACCTACCCTACCCTTCATTCCCTATCCACAAAAAAGTAGATGCGCTTTATGACCAGAAAGATGATTATCATGCCAACAACACACTTTGTGTTTTACTTACATTGGTTACAAAAGTTACATTGGTTGCCAATACGAGATAGAATTGCATTTAAGATCATTTTTCTTGTTTACAACGCACTGAATGGTCAAGCCCCAAAATATTTGTCTGAATTATAATCTTTAAATCACAAACTTATGCGCTAAACTTACGAAGTACACCGGACAAGCTACTTATAACGCCACCTCATATAAGAACAAATGTAAATCTTGGGGGTGACTCTTTCAGAGTCGCCGCTTCAAAGCTGTGGAATAATCTTAAACTAGCCATTAAAAAAGGCTTATTCGTTGCAGTCTTTAGAGTTTTGTTGAAGACGCACCTCTTTTTAAGGAGCTTTTAAATAGTTTTTTTGTGTGTGTGTGTGTTACTTGTTACTTGTAGAGAAAATCCCGATGTCAGCTATCATACAGCTAAACTGGGATGTCCGTGCAACGTGCTGGCATAGTGACAGTGCATGAAGTAATTCAAAACAGTGAATGATGTCTATTATTTACAATAAAACGGTGGACGTGCAAGTAAAAACCGAGACGTGGAGTCTACAGTAGCTTGTGTGTGTGTGTCTGTAAAGTAGTACTGTTAGAATATGTGTTTTCATCACTGCACGGTAGATTATATTTATATAGTAGCTGCGCTTTATATATTGAGCTAATCATAATAATAATTATTATTTTTCACTTCCCTCTCGTTTATCCTGGCTTAGAAATGGCGTTATTTCATCGACCCGACTAACTACATGGAATGGGCACTTTACATCACCTCCGCCATGTTTGTAGGTCCTTTCCTCATTCAGGATGACACTCCAACAACTCACAGTCAGTGGGTATTCGGTGCATTCGCCATTTTCTTCGCTTGGTTCAACCTGCTGCTTTACCAACAAAAGTAAGTTTTTAAAAAAGATGTTTGAAGGGATTTTTATCATTTCCATGTTTTCAAAGAAATTAAAATATCATTATGGAATTGAACAAACAATCTATGCGCAACAAGATAAGTTTATTTCATTTTTTGATAGATGGAGTCACGTCCAACTAATATCTAAATACAAAAATCTTGATTTTCATTGTAACTTTCTTCGTCATATGTATATATTTTCATGATTTGTACATTTGCTTAAACTATTTTATGCTTTGAAAAAAAAGTAATGGAGCTCTCACACTCTGCCGTGTAGGCCTACCGTCCACCTGCAAACAACAGAGTCCAGAACGTTGGGTTTTGAGCGAACTTGTCCCCGGCCGCAAAAAAAAATTCATAAAATTAATCTTTTCATCGTTTCGTTGCCATCTTCTGACCGTTCTCACCGGGCGCATACCGGGTGTTGAACGTGCTTCTACCGTCTTCACCGCCCAGATTGACTTTTGTTGAAAATTTTGGCCGTTTTCATACCGGGCCCATACCGGGTCTCGAACGTGTGCACCGGGTTTGTAGCAGCCACCTACCAGTCACTTAGCGTCCCCTCACCGCTCGGAGCGTTCTGTGAGCGAGTCCCCGGACTGCTGACGTCATGACACGACTGCCATAAATACCTCGATTTGAACGGCAACGGTCAGTCCGCTCTCCATTTTTCATCACCGTTCTGTAACGGGTTATGAGCGTGTTGTGAACGTGTTCATACAGTGTGACCGTTTTCATAACGTATTCATACCGTCCTCATACCGTTCAACACCGTCCTCTTGCCGCTTACTTGCGGCCGGTGCCAGCCGGCCAAAGTTTTGAACATGCCCAAAACTTTCGCCGGGTCCCACCGGGTGTAAATAAGCGCCAACGCCCTATTAACGTGTTGCCCGCTTTGATAACGAACCACCGTGTGCCCTCGCCGTTCTCCACCGTCCGCAGACATTTTCGCGCACGGTGGCACACGGTAGGCCTACACGGCAGAGTGTGAGAGTCACTTAAGATCTGAAATCCTCATTTAAAAAAAATGAAGTATCATTATTCTTATATATATTTAACCTTAGCTTGGACATCAACCAACAAATGAATATATAGAAAATATGTCTTTGTGCAGAGGAAAATTAAAGAATATGTTTAGGAACTGGGAAACTGCCAGCTTATCAAGGATTTTAAGAGCCCTTTCGGCCAGAGGCACAACTTGAAGAAATACAAATCTCCCTTGTCTTGCTTTAATGGGACATAACTTGGAGTGTCTGTTGGTAAAATTTGAAATGATGTCAACCCGTTTAAAATGTTATCTGCAAATTGAAATATGTTTCCTTTTTTTCCTTTGTATCCTTTCTACTTTGGTGTTTGTTAATTTTGTTGCTACATTGTTGGCAAAATTGGTACGACCTTCACCCCCCCCCCCTCCCCCCAGCATTGAAAATGGTCTAGAGACGCTAGAAGTGAAGAAAAAAAAATGAGTTTGCTATACAGTTTTTTGTAACTTTTAATCCCTGTTACAAAGACTCTTAAGTTACATGTCCAATCTGTATACAGCGTTTCGTTTTGTAATGTTGTTACATATAGAATTCATAACGTGGAAAATGTAACTGTCATCTAAACATTTCCCACATCCTTATGTTTGTCTAACCTACAGGGTTGGAAGCATTGGTATCTACGTGGTCATGTTCCTACAAATCCTGAAGACCTTGGTCCGTGTCATGTTCGTCTTCATGATCCTCGAGGTCGCATTCGCAATGTCCTTCTACATTCTCATGAAACAAGAGGTGGGTTGCTCGACCGTGATACCATTTTGCTATCTCCATGTCGCCGTGTCCAAATTGTTGTTTTGTTTGCTAAGAGCATGCGAAAAGGCGGTAGCGCATATTATTCCTTAAAGTAGACACACGAAGAATCAAAAGTGTCATTGCGAAGGGGAAGCCTTACTGATCAAATACAACAACTCTCCTCTTCAAAATATGTTTCAGGCCCGCAGTAATCAACTCTCAAAAAATGTTAGTTTTGAGATCCAGATTTTCTGCCTTCAGCGGTCCTTTGTAGAGCGTCAATATTTGTGACGTCACACACGGAACACGGCTGGCTAGCTGCAGACTAATACACGCGCGACTCCGGTATGCGGCTGGTACCGAGCCGTTTGTCCAGTGTGTGACGTTACTATTCAGAGCTCGCTACGCTCGTGTGTTTGGCTTACGTTCGGGGGCGCTTGGGGGTCTAAGAAGGGTCTTATAAAATTGCATTTTACGCCTTTCCATGATATCTATATGATTTCTCAGCAAATTATTCGTGTTTTTCAAGAGAAAATCTTTCCATCCATATGTAATTTGTTCTAATTATCAGTTGTTTGTGAATTTTCTTTGTGTAGCTCCTTTAAAGAATGACCGTATTTTGAGCCCTCAGCAGACGCTATCTTATCTCATCATTTTCTTGTTATTCTCTCTTTCTTTCTCTCACTCTCTCTTCCTCTCGCTCTCTTTCTCCCTCTCTCTCTCTCTCCCTCTCTCCCTATCTCTCTTTCTCACACTCTCTCTCTATCTATCTTTCTTTCTATCTCTCTCTTTCTCTCTCTCTCTCTTTCTCTCTCTCTCTTTCCCTCTCTCTCTCTATCCCCTCTCTCTTTCCCTCTAGCTCTCTCTTTTTCTCTCTCTCTCCTTCTCTCTCTCATTCTTTCTCTCTCTATCTATCACTCTGTCTTTCTCTCTCTTTATCTCTCTCCCTTTCTCTCTCTCTCTCTCTCTCTATCCCTTTCTCTCTCCCTCTAGCTTCATTCTCTTGCTCTTTCAGACCACTTTATTATTTCGATTCTTGTATTCTAGCATTGTGTTTATGATATTGATTATATATTTGTATTTATTTGCTCTGCAATTGTATCTTGAAAGTGCAATTCCTGTAAAGGTAACCTACCATTACCGTCTTTATGTTTTCGCGGCTCTTAGGCCACCCCCTTTTGGAACTTACTGTGATTCTTTTACATTGCATTATAAATTCTTAGATCTAAATAAATAACATTTACGTTGCTTATTGCAAGTCAATTCACAATTAAAGAATATGCACCTTCGATATTCCGTTGATAGGTTCATATTCAAGTCATTACTCCAATTTCGATTCTTGTATTCTAGCATTGTGTTTATGATATTGATTATATATTTGTATTTATTTGCTCTGCAATTGTATCTTGAAAGTGCAATTCCTGTAAAGGTAACCTACCATTACCGTCTTTATGTTTTCGCGGCTCTTAGGCCACCCCCTTTTGGAACTTACTGTGATTCTTTTACATTGCATTATAAATTCTTAGATCTAAATAAATAACATTTACGTTGCTTATTGCAAGTCAATTCACAATTAAAGAATATGCACCTTCGATATTCCGTTGATAGGTTCATATTCAAGTCATTACTCCAATTTAAATGTTATCGTGTAATTATCAGTAATATGAAAATCGGTAAGAAAAATTCTGCTGACAAAAAAAAAATAAACGAACACAAGTAGTTTATACCGTTAAAATGAATGCATAATATTTGGATTGTTAATCAACACTCTGCAATTGTCATTAAACGAACTTGAATGATCGCCTTTTTTCATGTTTTTATTTGTATCTTAATCTGAATTTCAGGACAATAATGCCTTCGACAGACCTCAGTATGCCGTCATGCGTGTGATGACAATGATGATGGGGGAGTTAGACTACCTCAATTCGTTTGTTCGTCCTATCTATGATGACAATGATTACACCCAACATTATTCAGAGATTGCACTCATCTTTCTCCTCGCTCTTTGCGTGCTGCTGCCAATCTTATTGATGAACCTCCTGGTAAGAAAGACTAACTGTTTGCTCTTATGCAAGAGTAGAAGGGGGATATAAAAAAAAGGGTCTTGAACTGTTATATTAAATCATAAAAGTATTAAGAACTTCAAGAGAATATGACAATATAAATGTTTCCTAACACTCGCGGAGCCTTTAACAAAGGTATGAATGCTGATTTTGAATTCGCAACTCGTGGAGGGGAAGATGTCATTCTGTTAAGAAACGCGATCTCCAAGAGTGTCTTAAAGGGATTGGATAACTTTGTCACAGATTCTGAAACAAAATCCTGGATTTAGCTCATGCTGCAATGATAATTATAAACCTTTAGGTCAGTCAGGAGCCCCATGACTTTTACCAGCCGATTACCTGTCTGATTATCAAGATATTTATGATTGGTAATCGAAATCAAATTTTGCTTTTTCCTAACGGTTTTCATAACACTACAGTCTATTGGGGAAAACGAGTATGGTTCATGGTCATTTAGAAGCGCATTTTTTAGGGCTTCAATATTACACCATATCACAGACATTTATAACATGTAGGGCCATGCATCTCAGATTTCACATCGTTAAACGATGCCTTTAATATAGGTTTCATAATAAAAATTGAGGCGCACTGCTGCTCATTTATGTTTTAAATTTCTCCAAGACGCGGATATAGAAGATAGTATTTTTGTTTCATGATATATATAGTATCGATGAAAAATTAAGGACTTTGTAAAATAACATCTCAACGCATTTATGCAAGATCTGTGAAGGTTTGAAACATGATTGTCCAGCGCGCATATCCCTAACCCCAGGCCATTCTTTTAATAGGTTAGCAATATTAGGTGAATCCATATTATGTGCTATTAAAACACAGATGTTTCAACAATATATCGAGCAAACTTTATAAAACACACACAATCATAAGAAAAAATAAATGTATCGTACCTCAAACCAGTACAAGGGCCTTTTAAATAAATTTATTGGGATATTTCCACTCTTCAGTAACAAATACAGGTAAACTATTAATGCTGTTTTTGTGATTTGAGACATACGCCTATATAATTTGTATGTGTGTACTTGGACAGCAATATACCAAAATGATTACCGGTTTACCGTGTATTTTCTCCTGTGATGTTATTTGTTTTACAAGATTATGTTTGATTTGTTTAATAAAATGATGTTTTATAATATGATTTTACTAATGACCGGTCATTATCCATATTACGCGTTAGGCAAATAAATGCCTGGTTATGTGTACACTTTCAACCAATCATTTGATTAAGATACACGTCATCATCTTATAATTCAAAATGATTACCGGTTTACCATGCGTTTTCTCCCGTGATTAGATCGGTTTGGCTGTCGGTGACATCGCAGCCGTCCAGCGCGACGCTCAGCTTAAGAGACTCGCCATGCAGGTCGAACAGTATACCGACGTCGAGACTCGACTTCCATTCAGCTTCATCGAGCGAGTCGACAAGGACTTCGTTACTCTTTACCCCAACAAACAACTTGGATGGATGATCAAGGTATAGGGGCGTTTTCGATCTGATTCTCTCTGTTATTATTCTTAACTATAAACTCGATGGAAGTTGCTCTAGAAAACCAATTTCAAGATTCTGCTGCTACAAGTTAGTTCCCCTTTTCTCGAGCCATTACTATTATATTTGTCTTGTTTCATTGTATATTTTTTGTAATATATTTATATTCATTGCATTATCTTTTGCATGAGAAAGAAAATAATTTGCATTTGAATTTAAAACATGTTGAAGGGGTCCTATAACTGTTCATACTTTACGAAACGTCTTTGTTCTCCGTTCATTTTTTATTATAATATACTATGGTCATAACATATCACGCTCAAGGGGGGGGGGGGGGGGTAGTGAGCATTTTTTTGTTGGCTCTCGAAAATTTGAAAAATTTCACCCCCCCCCCCCTCCTTGAGCGCCAGGAGGGGGGGGGATCTAAAAAAAAAAGAAGGTTAAATTAACGTTAAAAAACGTAAAAATACACATTTCCCACCCCCCCCCCCGCCCTGGATCCGCCACTGGTGACAGCGCCTACGCCCCCCCCCCCCCCCCCCTTCCCGTCACACTCGTAGAGTAGGGTACAAAGATTTTTGACCACGTCGACGTAAACGATTTGAAAACTTATGATACTTTTGAAGCCAGCCCTCACCCTGCCAAGCATGATGTCTTATTCATTTTGTTCTTTTTCTTTTTTTGTGGTCCTTTTAGAACTGCATGCATTTGGTGACAACGATAAGTGCTGAGGAAGAGCAGGAACAGCGTTCTGCCAGTTCTGAATTCAGCCCAGGACATTTTCAAGGGGAGGTCGCCAAACTCAAGCGCAAGTAAGACATTTGATCTATTCATTATTACATTTTCATAATAATGATAATTATAACCCTTGGTTTTGGTTTTGCTTTGCTTTTTTTAATTTTTTTATATTGTATTCACAGCTTTCATACGCCTGTAACTGAAGATTATTGTCTAAAATTAGATTAAGATTAGAGGTGGAACGTTAGACATGGTGATTCGTCTTTGCTAAAGCGTTGACATAAAATAAAGTAGTTGTACGACCCTCGCGCCTCCGACGATTGCTCCGCGCCGGCTCCGCGTCAATTTCCTACGCTAACCAAATTCTTAACTTCAACCAAGGACCAAACACTATACTTAACCATAACCATAGACCTAACCTAAAACCCAATTAATAATAATAATAATAATAATATTTAATGTTTATATAGCGCTTAATAAAAATGTCTCTAAGCGCTTTTCAAATAATATTACCCCGGTCATTGGATTCAGTGCTTGCCCGCACACACTGTGTGCACAATCTCCACAATTGCAACGCTAACCCCAACCGTATACCGTTTAAGAAATATAGCCCGAAGTAATTGTCGCAATGTCGCAGGAACAAGGTACTGTTTGTTACAATTTGAAATAGAATTTGAAAAGTGGGCATAATCATGATAACACATCCCTCTACTCTAAAACAAAATACATGTAAATGACCGGTCTAGTGTTGCCTGGATGAAAAGTAGGCCTAATCATAATTGTCAATAAAAGACTGCCTGCATGGTACAAAATCGAGTCAAATCAAGAAATGTAAGACGTGGCATTATCATGACTTTCGACCCCATGAATACAGGCCACCCGAAATCGAAATTTGAAATAAACTTGGCACAGAAATTGCTATCGATTTTTCGTTTTCAAGTAGTCACCAGAAGAATCAACAGTGTTTTGTAATAATGCAAAATTCATATCATTGCGAAGGGGAAGCCTTCCTGATCAAATATAACAAATTCCCTCTTCAAAATGCGTTTGAGGCCCACAGTAATCATCTCTCAAAAATGTTAATTTTGAGATCCAGATTTTCTGCCTTGAGCGGTCCTCCATAGAGCGTCAAGATTCGTGACGTCACATGCGAGTCATAACATGGCATTTTACGCTTTTCCATGATGTCTTTAAGATTTTCAGCAAATTATTCATGTATTTCAAGAGAAAATCTTTCCATCCATATATAATTTGTCCATAATTATCAGTTATCGTGAATTTTCTTCGGGTGACGACTTTATTTTTTAACGACACCTAATTTCCTTCAATTTCAAAAAAATAATGTTAAATGTTTGTATTCTCCCTTCCAGACTGAAGGATATGTCGGGGATGATGGACAAGCAATACGAGCTGATGCGGCTGGTCGTTCAGAAGATGGAGATCAGGTCGGAGGCTGATGAGAAAGATGAAGGAACATGTGAGGACGCCCTCATGATGCGACCTAGGTAATGATTGACCTCTCCATATAGGACATAACAACAGATTCGAGCTTTTAACTTTGACATTGTGTCTCCCTGCATAGTGTTATTAGTGTATAATACATATAAAGCTTTACATATATTTTCGAAAACTCACTTTATTTGTCAAATTAATGCTATGGATGATGGATCAGTGCCCCGGATCAATGCTCCTCATGATAGCAGTTAACGTGTCCAAGAATATTCCTTATTTCGCATCCGTTGGAGATATTGTAGGCCCAGTTGACTGCCACCCGGGTTAAAGGAAACTGTTGTTGTCGTCGACAAGAGGACACGTAAGAGGACACTTTTTTTTTTTTTTTTGGTCTCGAAATTTGGAAATTTGACATTTTGACCCGTTGGGGGGGGTAAGGTCACCTTTTTTAGGTTGGCCATGGGTATAATTTTTTTTTTTTTTTTTTTTTTTAAATAAATAATTTAAAAAAAAAAAAAAAAAAAAAAAAAAAATCCAAAAGGGGGGGGGGGGGGGGGGGGGGGGGGGGGGGGGGGTTTTAGGGTTTTTTTGGGGGGGTTTACACACAAAAAATTACCAAAGGGGGGTACGCGCCTGATCAACACACCTTCCTCTTATCCCTTGTTTCTTTCTTCTACAGATCAGCCAGGCTAAACCTAAGCCAGGTGGTTCGGTTAGCCACCATGAAAGGCAAAGCGAGTCCCGTGCAGAAGCGGTTGAGACCCGACAGCGCCGGCCGCAACAGCCGACCGGGCTCCGCTGACCGCCTCAGCCCATCATCAGTAATCAGTACACTCAGCTCACAGGGCTCCACCTCTCCATTGAAAGTGATCCTTCCCGCCGAGCCCTCCTTCTAATCATCAGGGGTGTTAATGAGCACTACTCCCCCCCCCCCCCCTCAATCAACCTCCTTTAAGTAACAAAAGAAAAGAAGAGGATTCGGGGGGGGGGTGGCATCTAACAACATTCCCCCTTTTGAGTAAGAAAATTGGGGGAAATAGGGAAGAATAGGAAGAATCGAGAAAATGAGGGGAAAATCGGGAAAATCAAGATAAAATCGGGAAGAAGAAAAAAAAAGTCGGGGAAAAAAAAGTTGGGAAGAAAAAAAAATTGGGGCAAAATAAATAAATCGGGTTTTTATCAGACCTGAATTATGGACCCCGGTTGTGTCTTCAATTTCTCAGCGAGGTAATAGCTTAGTAATTTTGGTCCACAGCCGAATATTGTTCTTACTAAAGCAAGTGTATATTCACCTTGAAAAGACCCTGCCAAATGCATTGGATAAACTCTGTCAACGTTTCCGAACAGGAAATGCAAGACCGTCGCGAAAAGCAAAACGAAATGAAAATGAAACGAACAAACAAAACGAAGATTACAATTGGTTCCTAAGAAGCTCGTACCTATTTTGAACAAGCCAGAAGTTTCAAAATGTGATGATAGCTAGGTTTCAGAGGGTGCCCCCCCCCCCCAACAAACACCTAATTGTTTGACGACTATAACGCCGAAATAAAGAATAAAAACATTAATACAAATATGATTACCAAAAACTCAACAGTTTTATTTCACGCCGAGTTACTATTAACTTCCAAAAAGAAGAAAAAACTAAAGGATACTGTGTCTGTGCCAATACTTCCTAGAGCTGTTATAAGCTATATTTCACCTTATTTGAATATTTTCTTCATGTAAATGTTATCAGTAAGTTGTAAAAGATTTATAATAATTGAGTGTACAAATTTTATCTTGTGAATTTTATTCTATTTTGTTCAATGAATGATGATATAAAGTAACATTTTATCCACGTTGTCTTATCAGTTTAGCAGCTGTACAATGTCAATGGCACCTTGATTTTTCATGAACGATTATCACATCCCCAAGATACTACATATTCTAAAAGTTTGCATTCATATTCAATTATGTGTTTGTGTCTGATAAAATACATTATGCTTTCAACCTTGTGTAAATATTATAAATTAATCTATATATCTCTTTATTGCACCTTGATTTTTCATATACAATCATCCCATCCCTAACGATACTAAACATTTTTCTTTCATATTTAATTATTTTTATGTCTATCAAAATACATTATGCATTCAATCTTGTGTAAATATTATATGTTATATTTATCTATAATTTTATTTATTCGTCCAAGAAAGAACTTTAACATTGCGAAGTAAATACAAATATATAGTACATCGTGTGTTAAGAAGGAGAACAGAATTAATCATGTTTGTAAACAATTTACGCCCTGCTGTCTCTTAACGGGCGATGATTATGTTGTTGCAGTGTTTTGTAAAATGTCAGTACTATTCAAGTAAGTTTGTTTGGTGATGATGTAAATGATGTGAATTGCTATTATATATATATTTGTAAATTTGTGATTAATTTCTTCATTTATTACTAAAACATAACAGCCTACGAATTAACAGTTAATTTGAATCTCTATTCAACAGGGCCAACAAAGTGATTTTATCATGTTTGAGCTTGATGCAGTGTTGAATCCAGTTATACGAAGAATATGAATCACTTTTTGAAAACTACTGGTTACTATTATTTGAGTGTAATACTGCAAATATAAAAGCATATGATAATGTGGGGTGACACCCCCCCCCCCCCCGCCTCATAACTTAATGCAACCAAGAGAATGTCTTGTATTATTTTCTTATATCAAACTGAAGTCAACTATATGAGTATGTAGAAACAAATATGCCCAGGGTTTAAGTGTTCCCACTATTTATTAGGAACGGGTCACACATGTGGATTATTCGTGTGTAAAATTAATCCCCTATTATGCGTCGAATCCATTACATTTGTATATCATCATTATCATTATCGTTGTTATTAACATTATTATTATCATCATCAATTTTAATAATTCGATTGAATCTAGCAAGCCTCGAAAGTAGAAGGTTTTGTCTCATTTTATTTAGCCCCTCGCATTATACATTACGCGTGTCCTTGCCACAAAGTCGTTATTTTGTGAGCGCATCGAGTTTCATTATGTATTAATATTTACAGGTATTGTATAAAAACCAATTTAAACGTCACAAGGTACTATCACAAAGTTTTACTGAAACACTTTTTAAAATATATATCTTTCGTACAAAATTTAAATACAAATTATTTAATCTGAGTGCATATTTTGGCCTCACCGTTTATGTCAGTTATATAAAAGGAAGAAAGACATTGGGTATATTTTGAAATTTATGATTGTATTTTTTTGTTTATTACCTCAGTGAATAAAGTGAAAGTTGTTGGACATACCATACTTTTTGGTTTCAAGGGCATAAATATGCGTATATGGATAATCCGTAACGGTAATTTACCGACACTGGTGCACTCTTAGTTTTGTGCTTCCAACTCTGTCTATAGCTTCTGCCTAATAGCCGCCCCTCCCCCTTCTCTTTCCTTCTGCCCTATGTGTGTGTGTGTGTGTGTGTGCGGGTTTATAAGACGTGTGAAACGGGGATAATCATGTGTATACATAAATTCCAAGTGGGGATACACTGGCAACTGCGGATATCCCCAGTTGATAACTTTCTTATTTTATGCTAATTTTGGTAAAAGTGACCCGAGAGGAGTCTGCTACCCATTGCCTGCAAGAGTTCCAAGACATCCACATTTTCATAGTATAAAGACGCCACGTTTTCGGGCGCTATTTTGTGTATCTTCTGCGATTTTTTAAATTCTGATAAATGAACAGCGCCTTGTTAAAGCTCTTACATAACAACAGGAGGCTAAATTCTTGTTATTCTTTTACAAGATGTAATTTTATTCAATTATCTGGCTGCCAGATAAATAAATGGAATTACATTTCGTCAAAGAAAAAGAATCTTTTTAAAAACACCAAATATCATAGTTAAAGATAGTTAAGGATAAATATCCCCAGTTGGCACGTTTTACCTGTGTGTGTGTCTCTCTCTCTCTCTATCCGTTGGTCACATTATCTTCTAAATCTGTCTCACACTTAATTAATCTTTCTCTCCCTCTTTCACTCTTCCTTTTTCCCCTCTTTCTCTTCCTCTCCATCTCTTAAGTTTACATCTCTAGACTCTTTTTCTCGGACTACCATAATTGTATTACTACATTCCTTCGTTGAACCAACTAACATCATCATCAGAACGTAATTTGTCAACAGTAGCAATAACAAAATGTGCAAGGCAATCTCATGATTTATTCATTTCCCATCAGATGCTGGAAAAATGCTACATTTTTTATTTCATTGTTTCAACAGTATAGTAGTAAACTGCAAAAGTCAGGTGAAAGACAATTTACTCAAACAGTTACGGTGGAAACATACATATAGACACTCCTTTTTCAACTGTCTTCATAATTAAACATGCAGAAATCATCTATAAACAAAAAAGCGCCCTCTCAGTTCGTGCCCAGACAAAAAATTTCAGTCTTTATGATTCTATATAATATAGTCAAGCGGTGGCCAGACATTCTATATACTTCGGCAACAAATTGTTCCGCGTTTATTAACTCCAAGATAAAGGGTTGGGGCAACTTTATCAAACTATTTCTCTCAGCTCCCCCACCCTAAAAAGAAATCCATTGCATTTCCTTTGTTTCAATTACAAATCCCATATCTGAAGTCTAATTTTCAAGAACGTGGTGTCTTAAGAGTCATAAGAAAATATGTATGTATTAAACACTGAAACACGCGAGGAGGGTCTGAATAAAATCTTCTGAAAAAACATCCACTGATATAAAAATGGCTTGGTCAACATGAATAAGAAATCACAAATGCAAGACGTGACTCAAATCTTCTAGACTTATTCTACATTAAGTAAATTGCAAATAAAGGAATGTTATTTTCTAACAGACATCAAAATAATAAATACAACAAATACACCGAATCGTTAATTGCACTACCTTATCATTACGTGGCATACATACTAAATCACTTCTACAAAATAAATCATATAAATGACACAGATTCTTCATTTTTCCTAATAAAATGGGTCATGTAAAAAAAAATTATGACTTGAACAATGATCTTCCATTTGGTTGGTTAGTAAAAGTTATGACACACAAAAACTGCAAAATGCCATTATAAATGATCACATATGATTTAGTGAGCATTTGATTGAAACATTACAACAGATATTCCCACGTATTTAACACTGATTATTATTTTTGGTTGCATGGTGCCACAATACAAGAAAAAAAATAATCACAGAAATACATAGCACAACCGACAGTTTTTTTCAAAATATGGAAGCCTTCTGGAATAAATACTCTTGAAATACTGCCTGATAGAGAGTTGGAAAAATATTTTTCTGTTAATTTGGTGGATAATCTGAATACTTTGACGATGCTGTTAAAAAGTGGAAGTTTTCAATCACCATTTAAAAACTTTAACGTTGAACAGGATCCATTTTTAGTCTGGCAATGGAATGCTGTTTTCCACAATCAAAATGCTTTCCTTATTTCCAGGCAAATCTCTTGCAGATCATGCACCGATCTGAGGAGCCCACACAAGCATAAAGTGCTTTGCCAAATTTTGGGGATTCCTGGTCACTTTACTAACATTCAAAGTTAATTGGAAAACAAATAATGAACTATGATATGGAATAGGCCTTTGATTTCATTTTGTATATAATGTTCTGACATTCCTCCTAAATACCTATGATATTCATACATTTGGCAAGATATTGACCGTTATCACAATTGTCATAAAACCTCTACATAAACGCAAATATATACAAAACAAAAACGTTTCAACCAAAGGGAGATGGAAAACTATAAATAAATTAATATATATGTCAATAGAAATCATCGAAATTGTATAAACATAAATAAAGTAAATACTCACAATGGATGTATGAAAAATATTTCAAAAGTCACACAATTTTCAGAATACAAAATATATGGCTCTACCTGAAATCTAAAGTGATATTATGGAACACGTATTACCAATGTGATAAAAACAAAAACATCAAAATGATTCATATATTGTCACATTCCCAAATATATATGTGTTTGATCACGAGGTTACAGTAAAAGTAAAATAAACATAAATTATCGAGATTGCTGTATCACCACATTGCATACTCTTACAGTTTATTGACAGCTATAAGAATAATTTTCGTCATTAACTTGTCACTTTAAATGCAAGACCTTACATTATTTCTCAGTTTGAAACCGAAGTAGAAATGAACAGTTATAAGACAAGAAAGTGACTGTAAACTTAGTTCAGACGCATCATTAAATCCCCGATAAATCCCATATATACCATCACAAACTCAGCAAAAAACTACTAAACTTCTCAGATCAATTTTTAAAATTCTTTCACTTAACATTTCTTAACTCCTAAACTAAAACTCCATACAGAAAATACAATATTTGTATATCCTGAGTTGTGAGGCGGTATTTCAGAGTTCATCAAACTAGATAGGAATGATTATTCCAACTGTAAAATAAAGTTTGCACATATTTGTCATACTTTTCAATACAGTAATTAGTCATTTTGATTCTATCAATGCAATCAATCGAAAACCAAATAAAGTTTGCCCATGTTATTCAAAATAATTGTGAAAACGTCTCCCTCTTTTTTTCTTTACCTCAATATCTCCCATCTTCACAAAAGGAGATTACTATCAAAGCTCCAAGAAAATATCACACTCTTTCATCAAGAATGAATTGAAAATTCTATACAAAAATTTATGTAGAATGGGAAGATCGAAATGATTTCCTTCAAAATTGTATAGAAATGTCTCCCAAAGAAGTAAGAACATACGCATCCCAGCAAACTTTCATTTTTCATCAACTATTTGAATACAGGAGCTGTACACAGATAAACATCCTTTACAAAAACACTTATTTTTTTACAACGATCTTGTAAAACATCTGGACTTCTACATACGACTACGATAAAAACATACAAGACAAGTGATACCCACTTTGGCAACGTGGAATATCATTTGTTCAGTTTCTATTCAATAAGGCCTCTTGGTATATGTGAAATTGTCTGCTTGGGATCAGAAAGGCGGTAACTTATATACGGTCACACAGAGTTAACCCCCATCTGGCTCCAAGCAGACACAATGCAGTGTTTTAGCTTTTTGGTACAAGTTTTATGAGAGTAAAAAACCAAGTTCCACTAACAAACCGACTCTAAATCGACCGATCAATGACAACATCAATCTTGGCCTTCTGGGTTATGGAATTTTTATTTGGTCTATTGTCAGTCTGGACCCTGTTTCACAAAACTTGTTATCAGTAACAAATGCTGAATTCCTATGACAAATTTGCTCTCAGCCAATCAAATGCCACGATTTCAGTAGCTTATAACAGTCACTGTAACTTTTACTGATAAAGAGTTGTGTGAAACGGGGCCTTGGTGTTGGTCTTGTTGGTGTATTTACACACAGCATGAGGAATTCAAACGATCAAAGCCATTCGGCTGTCAAAACATGATACAAGACAATTTCAAAAACGTTATCATTATTCTCTACTAGAATGAGATCTACAGATAGTTCTGTTACCAGGACTTTTCCTTAATCCTACTATAAAGTTCTATTGCCATCTTCAACAGCAGCAGCAGCAGGAAATAGGTTTATAAGTGACGGTGGAGGTTCGAAAACTCGAGCTTGAAATTTTCTCCACAAGCTGATTTTCTCAGTTGATTGGCTGGTGGGAAAAGATTAAAATTTGATGTTAACTTAATTCTTTTGTCCCTTCTATTTGCTGATTGAATAAACAACAGCATTGCATATATCCTGAAAATAGGAAATAAGTTATGAAGTTATATTTTCATCCATTTAACTATGAAATATTTTAAAATTTATTTATCATACAGATTTCCAGAACATACTTAACTTTCTTAAACAAAAACATATATTGCAAATGCTATAAGACAAAGAATTAAAGTCATCAAATGATTCAAATTCCACAATATATTACATGAAAGGAACAAAATATGTTTTGAACAAAACGGTTTCAAACAGACTTTATCAACCCCTTTAATATTTAATATTTTAAACTAATATTTTCATATGCAAAACATCATCAAGTTCAGCCCAACTAACGTGATAAAACTTGCATCTTTTTTTAGCTATTTGTATTATAAAATCTCAGTATAATTTAATTGTTAGATCTCTGCATAGTTTTTGAGAATGACCAAATATTAATGCGAACTTTTACATCATAATGCCACATCATTATACAACAATGACTGTCCTATGTCAATAGATTCCTACATAGACGCATCACAATATAATTGTATATCTTTACCTGAATATCAATGTTATACACAAAATGAACCTCAGTTTTTAACTAACTGAGTAACATTAATGAAATCATCTCAAGAATAAAGTATTGTCATAATTTGTTCTTATTTTAATATAAGAATATACATGCAACACTCTGCTAATTTTCAGATGATTTTTTTTAATTTTCATACAGGTGTATCCTTTATGTGCCTCAGATTGGCAAGATCTGAATTGTTAGTTGAGTAGTCTAGAAAGCTAGTGTTATACAAGTGCGGACTATGATTAGCAGCTAGCTGGAGTAGGGTTGGGGAGGGGCTATTGGGCATGGATCGGGGGGTCCCAGGGGTGCTTGGTGCCTCCGATGGGGTCTGGGAGGGCCCATCAGGGGTGACAGCTAGGGGCGTGTCAGGGCTGCTGTACGAGGTGTTGTCCCACTCAAGTTCGGGCTGGCGTATGTATTTCTCAATCTGCGGGTCCCATTCTAGTTCTTTAATGCTTATCTGTTTGGTGATAATGATGAAGGGAAGGGATGATGCAGTGAAAGAAATGATGGGGGGAATTAAAGATGGGATGAAGGAATGATAGAGGAAAGGGATGATTGATTGAGGGAATGATGGATTGAAGGAATGATGGGTAAGAGGAATGATTGAGTGAAATAATGACAGAATGAAGGATCAATGGACGAACAAAATGTGAATGTACATAATGCCAACGGATGAATTTGAAGGGGAGAGAAGGGAAAGAATAAATTATTAGTAAGTCGGTAGTCACTAGTTTTTTCAATCACAATGCACAATCTCATGCGCAGGTTTCAATCAACTCCTGAGCGAGAAAAAATAACTTACCAAACTAACTATTATCATCAATTTTCTGCGATGCATTTTAAAATCTGCAATCTCATATTTTGATAACACTCTAAAATAGCAATGAATTAATCCTGATTGTCTGGTTAGCATTTCTTAGCATTCAAACAAAATCCATGCATCATAAATAAAAATGAGCTTGTCTGAAACTTTTCTCTTTCTAATTTCTACTCTAAATTTGAAATCATTAGTTCTGCTACGAGTTCTAATTGTGAAGTAATATCTACAAGTGCACAAATTCATTTGCAATCATTTCATAAGGCGCTTAACATTTTTATACAATTCCAACACCAATGTGTATTCAAAAGAAGTGCTAATGGTTTCATTGAGCAAACCAATTCCCATAAACAATTTTAAAAGATTAAAAAGCTTCAATTTTTCAAGAAAAGAAAAGAATAAAGAGTCAACTTATATCCTGACATTCACATGCATTGGCAAAAGTTTAAGGATTAGTGTTCAGTGTAATTGACATAATATTTTTGCAGGCTTCAAATTTGAAATTATATAAGTTTGCAAGACGAGACAGAGAACCCTTTTCCACATGTCACAAACTACTTAAGATTTCTAAAATGTTGAGTTTATATGTGTAGGAAACACATATACATGTACTACTTTAACAGTAACTACACATATATCTACATTTCTAATGAAACTGTAATTGTTCACTATATCTAAATTACACTTTCTATAGGCATAATGAGTCTACAGATGCTAATTTCTAAATGGCTGTTTATAAGAACTTCACAAATGATGGTATGCTAGTATACAAAAAGGGTTGGTAAAATTTGAATCAATTTTTATTACAATTTATAATCAAGCTTTCAATCACCCTTCTGTCAAAACCACTGGTTATGGGAACATACAAACATTTGAACACAAATCTAGTACTTCTAAAGTGATGAAGGACAAACTATTCTACACGATGTGATAAATGTACATGAAATGAAAAGGTCACCCACCCCCCTCCCCCACACGTCCCTTTATAAATGTGTTTTGACCAATTTGCAAAGGAGAGTGAGAGGAAATAGCTAGTTAAAGAATAATATCAGTTCTTATTGAGATCTTGGCTGTAAAACTTATACATTAAATTACAAATGTTGAGTTAATTTTGCAATGCTAACTTTGAGCAATTAAAAAAAGAGGAAAATAGGCTGGTCTGATAAATTATATTGGAGTATAATGGATATTAACATAAGTGTAGTGCCTGATTAGAACCTGAAGTTTGTTAAGGATTCCTATCTTTCTACTTCGAATTAATCCCCTTCTGGTTGTGGCAGCTAACAATACATGACTCTACACTAAGGGATCTATATGTAAGGGAAAAAGGTTCTATATCATCTAAGATCAAAACTTATAAGGAACCATTAAGGTTAGTCAAAAAATATCGCAAACCAAAATAAAACTTGAAATCAAATGGATTAAAAAAATAAAGGAGGAATGACCCTCATGGGAGGGGTCAAGGGTAAAAGGTCAAGAAACAAAGACATGCCAACACATGGAATACCAGATGAAAGTTGTCTCTTACTCATCAATATACCTCAGCTGAGGGGGGTCGTTTGCCGGGAGAGGGGTTGCCTCCTTTCCCACTTCGCCCTGAGCTGCCACCTGCATTATTATTAAAACAATACATATCACCATTCTGCCAAGGCCATGTCGTATAGGGTGGTATTCTCGAAAGCGGACTAACTGTAGTCCATGGTTTAATCCACCGACTAAGTATAGAATGCTTAGTGTCCATATGAATATATTTTCGAATAATTATATCATAGTTATATTGTTGTTTATTAATTATGTTATTACATTTTATTATAATTTAGTGACAGATTAAATTATTCAAAAAAATATTCGTATAGACACTTGGCGTTCCATACTTAGTCAGTAAATTAAACCATGGACTAAAGTTAGTCCGCTCTCGAGCTCTCAAGAATACCACCCTTAATCTTTATACCCAAATCTATATGTGTACAGAACTTAATCATATATTGTCTATATACAGTACGAAACCTTTATATTTAAATTTTCTAACTTTCCATCCCAAGTAAATGAGTGAAATCGTGTTGATTGTTAGTGATACTTTGCAGCTTGAAATATTTATTGATTGCATATTTTCGTTACTATGAACATTTTAGCCAAAGGCATTAAAGCAGTATTGAAAGAAAAACATTAGTGTATTGAAGTGAATTGCATATTGATTGAAGGAAAAAAAATTAAAAATGTTTGCAGTACTTTTCAAAATAAAATATTAGTTCAATTGAACATTAGACATTGGAATTTGATGTGCTTCATTGCTTGTTTGCTTGCTAGGTGCCTTGTCTGTTGGCGATCTAAGCTTTCAATCTACATCTATCTTGAGTTATTTGTAATGTAATTCTGCTTCCGTTACCATTTAGCCCAAAATCAATTGCAAAAGTATATTGCAGATTTGCAGTTAAGGGTTTAATAGAAGACGATAAGTAAATATATTATATTGTGAAGAAGATAGAAATAAAGATCCACCTTATGTGTTTGATGTTCTAATTCTAAATGTCCTCTTCACATAATGTACAACTCTTTCTAAACTGCTAATACATTATGGTTCTGCAAGTAGGAACAATGATATCTACTCATAAACTCGGATAAGATAATCATCACATTTCAAAACTGGTTACCATGGTTACTTACCCCTCCCCTCTTCCAGTAAGCCGTCCATTTCTTTAGGCTCCCCATCTTTAGCAGCTGCTGCCGCTGCTTGCTGATTATTGCTGTTCTTTATACTTATCGCCGTGACGATGATGCAAACAATGAGGATGAGGAAGGCAACTACAAATACAGCTATGATGACTGGAAAGAGAAAGAGAGGGAGGAAATGAGAAAAGAAAATATAAATCATTAGATATTATTCGATAATAGCTATTTTCTTTTTCAGATACTTTTATCAATCAAGAGATTTGTAACTAAACATCGAAAAAGATAGAGATGAATAGGAAAAGATGTACGTTTCATGAGAAAGAGAAGAGAAAACGAGAAAAGAAAATTTAAATCATCAGACATCATTCAACAATAATTTTCTTTTTCAGATACTTTTATCAATTAGGAGGTTTGTATCTTAACTTCTAGAAAGATAGAGAAGAATGAGAAAATATGTACAGTTCATTTAGACATCTCCCATTGCAAGCCGTTTCATTATTTACAAGAAACTTGAATCAATTAAAAAAGTTTACCCCGTACAACTGAAAGGATTTCATTGGTTTAAAGATTGCAATTATTTTTTTTTATAGACAAACATCTATACTTCTTATAACATCTGACAACGATTAGGTAGGACCTACATGTAAGCATTATCTACTAGATCACATCATTTTTGTATAGGCTTCACTCCCATATGGCTTCAAGTGTTAAACAACTACTAAAGTCATCCATGATTCGACTTGAGCTACATGAATTGTTGATTAACTATTTGACAATACTTGGAAGTATGTATGTATATCATTACTGATATAAATCATATGTATATTTCACACATATAAACAGAATATTTATATTTATTGTTAAAATATTATTCTTGTAACTTTGATCATGAAATTAACTATTTGAAAATGCTTGGAAGTATGTATGTATATCATTACTAATATAAATCATATGTATATTTAACAGAAAATAAACAGAATATTTATATTTATCATTAAAATATGAGTCAAGTAACTTTGACCATGAAATTAACAATTCTTTGTCTGAAAAATACTGAGTGGCCTGTCAAATTAACAACTGCAAAACTTTTAAAAACTTTTTAAAATAAAGAAATGATTTAAGTTGAAAGGGATACCTTGAAAGGGATACTAAGGAAGACAAAACAAGGAAACAGATCAGGTACAAAGTTCTATTTATATGATATACTAGTAAAAAATGAAAGCTTTATCTAAACTTCTACAATTGATTACTACAATGAACGGACAAGAGTAATATACATTCATTTTCTACAAAGGCCCAGAATGGCCCCCAAAATGATTCATCTACAAGCAGGCCCGAAAACTACGCTATGACTGCTGGGTTAATACATATTGAGATATTAGATGGAATGACTATTACAAGGGGTTACTGACAGGGGGGACAGGGGTCAACATATACTCACTACCCATGAGAAGGATATCCCGGGGTTTCTCTACCGGTCCTTCTGACTCGACCTCCTGACCTTTGGCCCTGGCCACATTCCATGGAGGCATGGTCATCACCTGTAGACCAATCAGAATCAAGAATACAGTTGTTATTGTCGGCAGTATGATTATTTACTTTAGACCAATCAGGATAAAGAATGGAGGCATGGTCATCAGCTGTAATCCAATCAGGTTAGAGAATAGAGGCATGATTGACAGTATACCAATCAAAGTGTCTTGTTTATTTACTTTAGACCAATCAGGATAAAGAATGAGAGCATGGTCATCGGCTGTGATCCAATAAGGTTAGAGCATGGAGGCATGATTGACAGTAGACCAATCAATGAGTTATGATTATTTACTTTAGACCAATCAGGATAAAGAATGGAGGCATGGTCATCAGCTGTAATCCAATCAGGTTAGAGAATGAAAATATGATTGACAGTATATCAATCAAAGTGTCTTGTTTATTTACTTTAGACCAATCAGGATAAAGAATGAAGGTATGGTCACCAGCTGTGATCCAATCAGGTTACAGAATGAGGCATGATTGATAAACATGAACCAATCAAATTAAAGAACAGAGGGGTGATCAATGACAATAGATCCATCAAAGAATGGTATAATTACAGTAATTCACAGAGTTTCAAGTTTGAAGTTTATTGATACAAATTCACAAGGTTGGATTGTCATCAGACACAAACAACAATACATTAGGACAAAATACATACATTAGGTCAGAATACACCTAAGATATCAGGAACATGGTTGTAAGTATTAGTCAAACGTAATTTAAAGTACATTACTAAATCTTATGAAGTAATTTATATACATTTGTATTAAGTAATTCATTGATGAACAATCAAGTCTAAAGCTGTAGTACACACCATGAAAAGGATCTTCCCCCCCCCCCAGATATACTTCCATGATACAATATATCATGTTATTTGTAAAAGTGAGTAATGTTCTCCTATGTATTGTCTATGTTTTATGCAGTATGAGTATCATGTATTGTACTTTGAAACATAAATTAAATCACATTGATGGACATTATGTATGTTTTAAATATTTATGTTTGAAATATGATATATAAATAAATAAATCAAATCAAATCAAATCAAACATTGATCTTACCTTATTGAGCAATGGATTTGAAGGCATCTCTGTGGTCATGGTGCTGGTGGTTGAGACAGCTTTGAATGCAGCACACTCTGCCCTCTTCATACCTAAACCATTGATGTCTAGATCAAGAGGGGTCTTGTGGTTATAGTATAAGCCTGTTCACAATGAGAAAAACAAATTGTTTTAATGAAATAGTTGAATTTCATACTTTGTATGTAAACCACATACATTTAATGAATTAGTTGAATTGAATGTTTAACTATATATGTAATCAAAATGATCAAATTGTGAGGTTACTCAATTCAAAATTGATTTATTACAAAAGTTGAAATTTGTTCTTTCTGCATGTTTATAAAGCATTTATGTAATAAGTAATGAGCAGGATATAAAGAACTGGCATTCTTGAAAGATCACTATATATCAGTCAAACATACCGATACTATAATATAGAGCTTGTAAAACATTAAAATTTGCCATCATGACATCATAAAATCGTTTTGAATACTATCTTTACAGACATAGAAAATAATACAGCATTAAAAGACAGATTTGAGTTTCAAGTGAACGTAGGGTGACAAGTGCATAAAAGAAACAGATGCATCACTTCAAGTACTGTTCTTCAGAAAGCAGGATTCACAAGAATAGAGTATAAAGATAATACCTGAGTCACACTATTCGGAGCCGACACCAGACCGACAACATACCAATCAACCAATTACATTAATCCCAGTGGCCGAAAGTCAGTCGGTTTAGAGTCGGTGTTGAGTCGGGTCGGCGGTGTGACTGAGGGATTACCCCCAGATTAGGTAAAATATAATTGATTGGCATAAAATCATGAAACATTGAATACAACAGAGAGTCTTTGCCACATTTCCATTTCTGATGTTTTACTTACTTGAGATGCACCCCTCATATCCACCAGAACTGAACATACTCATGTTGTTTTCTACACCTCCTACCAAGATGGCTGCCCTGCCCTGGAACGGGCGTGGTGCTGACAAGAGGGTGACGTAATCCTCCCCTTGGTTATCGACCTTTGGTCAGAAAATTAGAATAGGTAAAAAGGTGAACATTAGAACTAAAAAGTCGAAGAGTTGCCTCTTTATGCTTGAGGTGACACATAATCAGTTCACAAACCTTGGGACTGTGCTGGTAGTTTTTTGTCAGAACAAAAGTGCAATTATTGCCATTAGCCCATAAATATAGCCGGGAAACAATGGCAATAACATAAATGGATTCATGCCTTGCCAATAACAAAGTTGGTGCTGGGCTGAGATTCAAACATTCAACTTATGGATTGAGAGTCAAGTGAAAGAACTACTTTACCATGACAACTCCATATGTTGTCATCTCTTTTGCATACATAACAAGCCAAATTTAAATTCTACATTTCTGCACAGATTCCCCAATTTCCATTACAAAACAAATAATAAATTTGAATTATTCATACATGTAATACATGTCTACATCTCGGTTTGTCTAAAGACAAAAATAGTCTCATTTATTAGACTTTACTTGAGTATCATTGCATTGGATATAATCATAATAATACAAAATTCAAGTTGACTTAATGAGCATAAACTTACATCAACCAAGATCCTCCTTCCAAATCTCTTCACAACCACTCCATGACGGAATCCATCATTGTATGGTCCAGTTTTCTCAACCTCAACTGAAAATCAAAACAAAGAAAAACACATGAACTTTGAATAAATAACAAGTCACTATTCTGTCTTGCTTTACTAATGAATAAACTTGAGAAAATTATTCCAACAAGAACTCATGAAAAACATTTTTGTAATGCATCCAAATAACTTTTTTCCTCAGATAATCTGGCAAGACTGCAATAAGTTAATTGGTAATAATTTAAAATAATAATATATTCCATGTTAAATTCCATTCTACACATGTTACATTCAAATCCATCATGAATACAGCCTTTGTATTACCATATTTATAATTCAAATCAATATAATGTAAATGTAGCATCTTCATCACTGACTGATAAAAGGTTAATACTCTCCAGAATCTTCTTATCCTTTCTCTTGTTTCAAAAGAAAGACAGAAGTAAAAAATAAATATACAATATATCTTCGATACAAAAAATGTTCAACCAAAAGTAGATTTATCAATAATCACCTAATTCTGCGCCAAAGCTGAAGACAAATTTGAGGTGTCCCCCCTGCAAGCTGACACTGATGTAATTCTGTTCAGCGCTTTCAGCAAAGTTGTTCCTAACATAGAAGATGGTTCCATCTGGGGAGGTTGTACTGAATCCAAACTGGAGATCATCTGTCTCCAGAACGTCCGCTGGCTGGTCAGGAGTAGCAATAAGGGGGTACAGGAGGGCGGTGGTATCTTTGAAGGTCGCACCAACATCTAAAATAGAAAAAATGAAATTATACACTGAGTAATTTTTGCTGTTATAATTTTTTTGAATTTCTATCATTTGTGATGTACTCATTTAATTACATTTTTTATCTCACAAGGTTAGTTTTTATATTTCCACAAAGCAAGGGACGAGAGTATCTTACAAAATGAATGTGCATCTTGTTTGTCATAAACGGATTTGTAATTTGTAAAATCTTTGTCGCCTGTCGCTACTGATGACAAGTGCAATGGACTAATTTAATCCATCAATACATGATTCTTCTTACCTATATTGCAAATCTTTCTAGTGTATATAAAAGGTACAGGTAGTAGTACAATGGTATTTAAATGAGTCAATTTATCCATGCAAGTGACTCCATTTACACAGGGGTGGTTCACATGTTCTATCTATTCATCCATCCCTCCCCACTTAACTCACTTTCTCACTAACTAACTCGCTCACTCATTCCATCCATCAATTGATCATTCTCTTGACTTCAGTGTAAGTCCTTCCATCATATGAGGTAGCAATTGCTAACTATCTATCCTTCTTTCCCTCCTCTTCTCTCTGTCCTTCCTCCATCCTTCCCCCATTCACTCACTCGACCCATCAACCTATCAATCACTTTTCTAACCTACAGTGCAAGTCCTTCCAGTGTAAGAGGTGGTTATACGATTGCCTGCACAGGAATCCAATATCTCCATGCAAGAAACTCCATTTATACAGGGGTCGAGGGGGAATGCAACTATATCTCATTCTCTCTTCTCCTCACTCATTCAATCCATTAACATATCATTTTCTTACCTTCAGTGCAAGTCTCTCTAGTGTATGAGGTAGGTATACAACAGCATTGGAATGAATCAACATCTCCACACGAGAGCCTCCATTCATACAAGGGTTAATATCTCCAGAAACCCATCAACATATCATTTTTGTACCTTCAGTGCAAGTCTCTCCAGTGAAGGAGGTAGTTGTTGAATTGTTTTCAAAATAATCAACATCTCCATACATGAGCCTCCATTCATACAGGGGTTGCTGAGAATACAGTTATCTTTCCATCCCTCTCTCATCTGTCCATTCATGCATTCAATCCATCCACATATCATTTTCTTACCTTCAGTGCAAGTCTCTCCAGTGAAGGAGGTAGTTGTTCAATTGTTTTCAAAATAATCAACATTTTCATACATGAGCCTCCATTAATACAGGGGTTGCTGAGAATACAGTTATCTTTCCATCCCTCCCACATCCGTCCATTCACGCATTCAATCCATCAACATATCATTACTTACCTTCAGTACAAGTCTTGCCGGTGTATGAGGTAGTTGTACAATTGCATTCAAAAGAGTCCCATTTCTCAGAGCATGAGCCCCCATTCATACAGGGGTTGTTTGGAAGACAGTTATCTGTACACGTCGCTGAAATACCTGAAGAAGAAAAAATCATTTATTTAATCGATTAGTTCCTGAAATGAAGTGTACATTAGTTAGGTATGAGGTAAAAATACCATGTTTTTTGGCAAACAGTATATAACATCTGGAAATGTCATGATCCAAGTAGGAATTTGATAATTAATACAAGTACATTATGTTGAGATAACACAAGGGCATAGCTCGATTTCTAAAAATTTTAATTTGCTTCACAAGCTAAAAGATTTGATCAAATTGCCTCTTGTTGCACAAGTTTCCATGAAAGATTTTATCTTCAAACATGTATTTCCATAACTTTTTACAAGTCAAAATGATTATTATCTGAAGTAATGAAATGATGCAAACAAGTTTATTAACAAAATAAAATATTTGTTATACTTTTGAATTGAATTGAATTGATTTGGTTTATTGCAGTAAGAGAACATGCAGCTGGAAAGCTGATATTGCTCAATTTACAAAGTCAATGTACAACACAATAAACAATCAAAATATGAATGACTAAAATGTACAACCATAAATCATGCATAATGAAACAAAATAAAACTCTCGAATATTACATCAAAATCTAAATGTATTACAAATATTGTAAACAATAAAAACTTCTGTATCATCAAAGGCTACAAAGGAGAGAGAGAGTTAACTTCGTAGTTAGATCTAAAAGGGTACACCTGTACCCCTACTAACCACCTTGCACCGCACATAATTATTTGAGCCCAATATGTTTCGCTTTTATAGTGAGTATACATGTACATGAAGAAGAAGAGTGAGAAAGAAGAAAAAAAGAAGAAAAAAAGAAATTAGAAGAGAGAACTGTCTATATTAACGTTTAAAATCTTCATGTATCATGATCTGTTTTTTTTATTTTTTGGTTTTCGGTCAAAATTTTGAAGAAACACGATGGAGACGACTAGACATATTGGTGGACGTCGGAGGGCCTAGGCTCAGCATTAGGCTGAGTTGTGAAGCTTGTCACTACGTACCGTGTCCGAGTTGGTCCTTGGGCGTCCTATATAGCCGATAAGCCTTTTGCTCGCCAGCCACTGAATTCTTCATCATTAAATAAAAGTTTAGCTTTTAAAAATCCAATTTATCCAAATCTATATATCAAAAAAAGTAAATCTAATTTTAAAGGAATAAAAATCCTGAGAGAAGAGGCGTAAATATTCACTTCTGAATGAAAAACGCCTATAAATTAAAACAACAACAACAACAAGAGAGAGAGAGACAGAGAGAAGGAACTTGAGTGTCGTGGTCGAGTGGTTTCAGGCGCTTGATTGGAGATGCAAAGGTTGAGGGTTCGAATCCCGACACGGCACTAATATCCTTTGGCACTTGCTACTCTCCACCCAGGTGTCAAATGGGTACCCGGTAGGATGCGGCCGTCATTGTTGGTCAAACAGCTTGTGAGCGTCAAGTAACGCCCGGCTGGAATGCTCCCCAGTGAGTGGAGATTGTGCACAAAAAAGTAGAAAATTGATCTTACCCTCCTCATTCTCAGCCTTCTCCTGCAGGTTGAATCCTTCTCCGTTGATGACGAGCCCCCTGAAGCAGCCCTGCAGGGTGGGGACAGTTGTGGTACCCTCTGGTACTCCACCGACGTAGATCTTAACAAAGGATTCTGAAGGCCCACTGAATGGCAGCAGCGGTCTGACGGTAGCTGGAAATGAAAGGATGAATATGGGTATAATAATAATAATAATAATAATAATAATAATAATTGATTCTTATTCAGTGCTATTACAGACACAATCGATCAAAAAAAGAAGCATACAAATCATAACAACCAAATGAGGAACAGTAATTAAGATATTATGATCAAAAATTATATTCAGGTATATGTTATTAAAATATTAAAAAATTATATATCATTTGTCTTATACTTTACTCATGAATAACTAGGAATTTCTACCCTAGCTTTAATTTATGTATTCAAATATGTTTGCATAATTTTGCACTGCCTTATTCAATTTTTATCATCTCGCAACAACATCTTGATATTGCTTTTTGCTTGTATCCTTAGCCCTTTATTACAGACATTTCAATAACATTGCCTATGTGTCAATTTCTATACTAAAAATATTCATATATCTCATAACTTTATTAATAACAATCCATAGTCTCAACAACATATCAATAAGTGCAATGTTATTGTGATAATCTCCATCATCATCTCAATCAGTCACGTCATTTTCATAAAATCAAAACTATCATTAGCATCACCACACAGAGAAACATACCCTAAATTTTGAAATATAAAGATCATCTGTGAATTGTAACTACCATAAATGTTACATTCAGGGTCAAAGGTCACCACCTTAACAACATTCAGAATCATTAACTGTCATACAGACAGTGGCAACACTAATTTACTCCACACAACAGTTTTAAATATTACGCTTCCAGGAGATATTTCCATTGTTGTAAAGAAATGTTTGGCTTGCACCCAATAAATAAACATCGCGTGCTTGATCTTGTAATTGAAAACAAGTCAGAAAAATTCTTGGAACCAGCGCGAGATTTGAACCTGCTATCTACTGCTTGCTGGGCAACGCCTCTACCACTGGGCCATATCTGGTCCATGGCACAATCACAATGAGCTAGAAACAAATACCTTAACTCTCCTGATTCATTCTGACTTATTAAACTTCATTAGTCCGCCATTAGGACAGATATTTAAAGCTATTGTCCTTATGGCTTTTGGGGATTTTGTCTTACTTGTTATAAATTACATTTACTGGGTGCAAGCCAAAGGAAGGAAGGAAGCTTACCTGGTACACCTGTGAAAGGTGTTCCATCATTCTCTGTCAAGAGTGTTGCATTTCCATCCATGGAGGAGGAGTATTGCTCATCGATGACCAGTTTGATTGATCTTTCATCTCGTAGAACAGAAACATCGATCCATGAACCATCATTTAAAGCAGAGGCTGTATAGAATGAAAAGTTTGAAAGAAATCATATTATCTCAAAAAGAATAATGAATTACCCCAAAAGTCCTTTATAAATCCTCATACATGTAAATGTATTAAAAAAAGATAGCTGCAAATAGAAAAAAAAACATATGTAAATCACATACAGTATCAGATATTTCTAGTTTCACTCAACACAAAAAGTATCACTCAAACAAATTTAATTCAACAACAGATAAGATAAATGAGGTCTATCACGTAATATTACCAGTGTAAAAATGACTTTAGAATAGTCCCAGGATCTCTGTTTTATCATATCCATCTATCTTAATTACGCCAAAAAGTGTTTCAAGGTAAAACCTATTTGCTAAATAACATGTGAAAAAAACGTTTACAGTATCTTGGTAGATAGAGCAGCGATTTAAATTGTGCATTAAGTTCATAAGTTCATAATCTTCTATAAGGCCAAAAAAAAAAAATGTTTAGCGTCCTGCCTTTTGAAAAATAGGAAGGAGGAGGCCCTTTTTTTTCTTCTTCAAAATGGCCACTCAAAATGGCCACTCGGTACATTTTCCCTGACAGTTGGGCTATTTTTTAAGATGGCCGCAGACATAAAAAAAAAAATTAAATCAGAAATAGATCCATTTTAGCAGTGTTTTTTTCATGTGTTTTTTCTTAAAAAAAAAAAAAATCCCCCCCAAAATCCAAAAATGTCAACCAACAAAATATAAATTAGGAGGCGGCCCCCAAAAAGGAAGCGGTCGGGGACGCTAAACATGTATACTTTTTTTAATGGCCTAAGACCTTACCATTCATCCTAGACACAATCTGCACCACTTCCTTGCCCTTGTTGAATTTCATCACCAGGGAGTCTCCTCCCTCAACGTCCAGCTGGACAAAGTTTCCGACCTGGTCGTGGGCGTAGAACAGGAGGGCATCGGTCTGGAAGGTACGGAACCCAAGATGGAAGTCGGAGGTCAGGACGGCAGTGTCCTTGGGGTCAAGGTTCACGAAGGCGGAGTCCATTTGGAAGGTGAGGGTGTCCATCCTCTTGTCTACATGAGTCGAATATTCATAATAAGGATTGACAAATTAAAGTGACTCGGTAACATTGCCTCAGATTCTGAAACGAAATCCTGGATTTAGCTCATGCTGCAATCATAATCATTAAACTTAGGTCAGTCAGGAATCCCATTACTTTTACAAGCTGATCGCCTGCCTGATTATCAAGATATATATGATTGGAAATCAAAATTCAATTTTTCGTTTTCCTAACGGTTTTTATAACACTACAGTCTATCGGGGAAAATAAGTATGGTAAAACCGGTCACTCAAAGATTTTACTTTTTGAGGCACTTCATGGTCATTTTGAAGGGCAAGTTTTGTAGGGCTTCAATATTACACCATTTCACAGACACTGATAACACATAGAGCCATGCATCTCAGATTTAACATTGTTAAAAGATGCCTTTAAAATACATGTACAAAGACAAGCCGTTTATGCCACACTTTGCTCTCACCATCATGATCTTTAGATAATATTTTTTTCTACAATAATGAATTATCAAAAAATGTAAATTCTGTAGATTTCTGATTAGGATTTGTACGCCCCTTAAGAGACCAATGCAAGTAAATGGTGAGAACAAACAGTGGCATGAACAGCCTGCCATAGTTAAGTCCAACTTAAAGTCAATCTTAGTCTTTGTGAAACACTCTCCTGGGTATATGGTCAACTTACCGGTTGCACAGGTCTGTCCAAGCAATGAGGGATGAGTACATTTACACATGAATGAACCCCATTCATCCAGGCACTCTCCTCCATTCTGACAGGGTTGTTTATCACATGCACTGCTGCAGCCAGGCTTCATGTACTCGTTCCTATTAAAAACAACAAAAGGGATGAGAACTTTGGTGTTTTAAAAAAATAATAATAATAATAATAATAATAATAATGTGGAATAAGACAGGTACCTCCATGGTATGAAGGTAATGCCAATACAATTGCTTTTAATTCTTTTAATTTTATTTCTGCATTTTTCAACATAATATCAAGTAATATACAAATAAGGTACATATATGTTATTAAGCAAAGTAAAAATACATGTATAATCATATAATAATATAAATCAATTAAATAACTATTCCTTTCAAAAAACACATAGTTGACCAATCATTTCAAGAATATATATATTTGAAGAATGCAGGAGACTACCATCAGCTACAGCTTGAATGTAATGGCAGCCTTGCTCTCCTTCTTGTACACTTAAGACATATTTCTTTTTTTATTCAGTGAAGTTCTTTTTGTCTCTAATGTCTGATAAGGCAGCATTCCCATAACAATTGTAAATGTTATTTCCAACTACTTGTTATTGTTCCTTTTCCTTCTACATGTACTTATACAAAAAAAAAATTCAGATGAATGACAAACCCCTGGATTGATATTGCTAAGAGCATGTTTCCCTGGGAGGAATTGTGCAATAATTCATTTTTTCATGATATTTGAACTAGATGACTTTTCCATCATGATTTATACATTTTGAGTATACTTAATTTATTCTTCAGCTTACATCCTAATAAAACGTCCAAGAAAGCAGTCAAGGCCCCTTGGAACAGCGGTAGCAAGAAGAGGCACGGGGAAAGAAAGGAGGGCTATGAAATCTACAACTACAAAGTCTTCAAGTTGTCTAAATTCTGTTATATGGTCAGTACATCTGCAGATCGAGACACACTACTTGTAAATCAAGCTCAACATCTCATAAGCACCACTTCACTTGCAACATAAAAATAAAGGTGAGTTCTGGTCATCCGATTGCAATGTGAAAGAAAAGGTGTGGAATGGATCAGGAAAAGTTGATCATGTAGCATGTACTGTAAGTATAGGTGTGTACTGCAAGGTTCTGCAGTCATCAAAATCATGATAAATTTGGCCCAGTCTTGGTAAAGTAACAAGCACTGTACACAGAAAGATGTATATGGGGCTACTAACCTTGATTTTCTAATCTTTCTAGCTATGCTCATTACTCAGCCAGTATACATTTTCTACCAAAATTGTTAGGCAAATTACATTTATTTGTAATCTTGAACATTCAGTGTAAGTTTTGTTTGATTCTGTGAGAATTAATTTTTTATTTTTTTTACCAGAACTCACCTTTATCTTTAGCACTAATGAATAGATTTCTATGAAAGCACAAAGTGCACTTACGTATACTCATTGTAGTAATCATAGATGAATTGATATTTGCCATTGATGAGCACTCCTGCAAGACAGCCACTCATCCCATGGAAACCTGATGGAAGACTGAAATGAAAGAACAGAAGCTAATTAAATGGAATGCTCCCCAGGGAGTGGAGAATGTGCATACATTGTGTGCAGGTAAGTCTGAATCCCATGACCGGGGTAATGATATATCTGTAAAGCGCTTTGAGAGGGCCTGTCGTCCTGAAATGCGGCTATATACATGTAAGAACAAACTATTATTATTATTATAATTATTAATAATAACTGCACTCATTAAAACCTTTATTCCATACAACAGCGTACATGTACCATTACTAATACATTGACAAGCTGAATTCACAGTGATTACACTAACAGTGGTCATGAAATTATGGAAATAAATGGTGGAAATAAATGTATAAGTACACTGAACACTGTACATGTGTGCATGTTTGCTATGTAAAAGACAACACCAATTCATAGAATTAAAACCTATCAAGACTAATATTCAGGTACTAAATCAAAAGCGATTTTGCTGTTTTTGGAGCAACGTATCAATTTTGTCAAAGAGATACACATTTGTTTTCAGAGTTTGATTTTATACCTGCAAGTTTGATACACCAAAGAGTTAATACTGCTTTATTCACTGATGAATAAATCCACAGCCATAGAAAATTCCATACAAGGTGACCTATCAGCTACAAACACAATTTGTTGGCAGCGATACTACAGTGAATATATATTTATTAAATCAATTCAAAAACATTTCCCCAGCATTCAATGGGGGAGGTAAGTATGAGTATGAGGAAAAATAAAGAATACCGGTAACATTAAAAAACTCTAGCACAGAGTCTATGTGGGACTTCTACTCCATTATTATGTTAATTGTTATTGCATAATTGTGTTAAATGGGGGCATGCTACAAGAGTCCTATCTCGCACCATGGGGCAACGTGTCTGACACGGCCAGTTGTAGCAACAACTTCGAAGATCAAGATAATTTAATCTTGATCTAAGGAGACACGAACGAACGAACAAACTCCATTATTCACATATACACTTACACTCCACTGCCACCGAGATGCATCTGCCCATGGAATGGGCCCATCTTCTGACCGACCGGCAGGGTGAGAGAGTAGCGGTCAAAGTCAATGGTCACATGGATCTCATGGGTGGTCTTCTGAAGGGTCATCGTATGCCATTGACCATCGGTCATCATCCTCTCGGTGGTGATGGTGTGTGTCTGGATGTCATGGTTCATGTGGAGCTCCATCTTCAGGGTGTTTGCTACAAAACGAAACAAATTAAAATTAAACTTAAGAGTAGACACTCCTTGATTGCAGATTTGAGACTGCCACAAATGAAATCTCTTTATCTTTCTGATTATCAGTGATGTACAGTACATTTAGTCCAGGGCCCGGTCTTTCACGATTGATCCAAATCCTCTAATTAATCACAAGATTGCAGTCCCCTATCTCTTATCTACATATCTGCCATTAACATCAACTCTTTAGCATTTGCAAGTCACAAGTATATTGACAATTATTTACTGTCTTTGGTTTTCAAAACGACTCAGTTGAAACCCAGGGCTATGGCCTCAGGTAGAACCAGGCTACAATAGAATAAACTAAATATCTTCTACAATCCTATACACACAGAAAAAAGTTGCATGGTAAGGCCTTTAAAGTGGACCATTCCAAAACCAGTTCAATCAAATATAGAAGTAAACACAAAACTAGCTTTGCGAAATTGCTTTTGATGATTAACTTACTCTGTTCACATTGATGTGTATTTCATATGTAATAATAATAATAATAATAATAACAATATTTATAAAGCGCAACATATCCATCTCTAGAAATGCTCAAGGCGCATACAAATAATTTAAATTAATATTCAACATACTTAAGATTAAAAAATATTAAATGTTAACTTGCATTAGATCATACAAGTATTGTAATTTGTAGGTTTATTTGCACTTTTTTGTTTTGTTTAATATGTAATTGTTTATCGTTCTATTTTTTTTTGTCATAGCGCTTAGAGACTTCGGTGGTAAGTGCTTTATAAGTAACGTTTTATTATTATTATTAAAGCTGTCTTCTTACGTCCGGTGATAGATGCCATGAGGAAGTTGTGCGTCCTCCACGTTGCCCTCTGGTGGAAGAGTACAGAGTTGAGGTCGTGGGTACGGAAGCTGAAGGAGAACATTCCGGAGTGCCATCCCTCCATGGGCAGAAACTGCTCTTGGTTCAACAGAGACACGGTGTATGGATGAGTGTAGCCCACTACAGGAAAAAGAAGACAGAACAGTTGTTAATATGGGATAACAATGAGGAGTTCCCATAGAAACGGATGCACACAGCTCTCAAAGCTTGCATCATTTTGTTTTTAACTGAAATCTATATTGATATATATTGAAGTGCAGCATCACATATATAATGTGTACATGTGTTCTGGTTACACATTGATCTATATGCAATAAAATTCTTCAAAAACAGCTACATGTATGTCTATAAAGTGTAAAGTATTGTCTTGTCCCTTTCTCGTCTCTGTTGGCATTCCCCTTTTATTTCCCCTATTTTATAGTTCCTTTTGTAGTTAAATATTAGATAATTTAATTACTCATTATTCCTAAGTTTCATTTGAGGTGTTCACACTTGTACAAGCATTGCTTTTTAGTGGACCCCTCTGTTTCCAACATGTATTTCTTAAATTTGTTTTAAATGCTTAAAATTGATTTGTAATGTTTTGTTGGAAACATGAATAAATTTGAATTTGAATTTGAATATGTATGTCATTTTAAAAATAGAACCATCACCATTCCTTGTCTCTAAAAACCTACTCACTAGTATAACAACTGATTTGTTCACCATTTCCTCATATTTCTATTAAATGCTTTTTATCCATTCAAGTGCTTGTCTTAGATGTAAGTGTAAGATATATCAATGCAGTGTTTGTATAATTTTGTTAAGTGAAAGGACACTACATTCAATGTTCTAGTCATAAACAGAACAATAAACCAAATGATTTACGATGTGTAGCACAATCCAGGAACATCCCGTCCGATTCAATCTGGGAATCTAGTTGCTTAATTAAATGTGCTGATCATGGTATGTTTTACTGTTGGTAGTGAATGACAATCTCTTAACTGCATGGTATTGCAATTACATCCAATGTTCACTGTACTTCTGATTTTCTTTCTAGTATGAACAGCCCCTCAATGTACAATTACTTTAACATTTGTAGTTCCACTGACCTAACATGTTTGTTCATATTGTATTGGGCCAAGGGTCAGTGTTTATAACTTGTTTCTTCTCACTTGATGGTATCGCAACTAAAACCAACGGTTAACTCCTGATTTTATCTAATATGAATAGACCCCCAATATACAATTACTTTAACATTTGTAGTTCCACTGCACCATTTTTGTTCACATCGGAGAAGGGTGAGGGTCAGTGTTAACTTGTATATCCTAACTTGATGGTATCACAACAACAACCAACGTTTAACTCCTGATTTTAATCTAATATGAACGGATCCCCAATACACCATTACTTTAACATTTGTACTTACGTGTCTTTTCACATCGGAGTGGGCCAACAGTCAGAGTTCCCTTGGTGAAATCCTCTCCAGTGTGAATGTACGGTTTCAAACTCAGCTTGGTGATCGGTAGATAGAACATGTTTGTGATGTAACCACTATCTCTCATCCACCTGAAAGAGAACAACAAAGGATTTTAGTGTATTGTAAATAATATTAATAGTACTAATGGTGGCAGTAGTAGTAGTAGTAGTAGTAGTAGTAGTAGTAGTAGTAGTAGTAGTAGAAGTAGTAGTGGTAGTAGTAGTAGTAGTAATAGCAGAAGTAGTAGTGGTAGTAGTAGTAGTAGTATTAGTAGTAGTAGAAGTAGTTGTTCTAATAGTAGTAGTATTAGTAGTGGTAGGAGTGGTAGTAATGGTAGTAGTGGTAATATTGGTAGTAGTGGTAGTAGTGGTAGTAGTAGTAGTAGTAGTAGTAGTAGTAGTAGTAGTAGTAGTAGTAGTAGAAGTATAGTAGTAGAAGTAGTAGTAGTAGTATAGTAGTAGTAGTAGTAGTAGTAGTAGTAGTAGTAGTAGTAGTAGAAGTATAGTAGTAGAAGTAGTAGTAGTAGTATAGTAATAGTAGTAGTAGTAGTAGTAGTAGTAGTAGTAGTAGTAGTAGTAGTAGTTGTAGTAGTAGTAGTAGTAGTAGTAGTATAGTAGTAGAAGTAGTAGAAGTAGTAGTAGTAGTAGAAGTAGTAGTAGTAGTAGTAGTAGTAGAAGTATAGTAGTAGAAGTAGTAGTAGTATAGTAGTAGAAGTAGTAGTAGTAGTAGTAGTAGTAGTAGTAGTAGTAGTAGTAGTAGTAGTAGTAGTAGTAGTAGTAGTAGTAGTAGTAGTAGTAATAGTAGTAGTAGTATAGTATAATAATAATAATAACATCAAAGTATACCAAGAATAATGATGATAATAATAAACAATAATAATAATTAAGATAATAATAATAATTAAGATAATATAAAGAAAAGTAAGAACATAAAAATGGGACAACAAAGGAAATGGTAATAGAACTAGTTGAAAGCAATTTTAAACAGATGAGTTCAAGGGCTCTTCAAAGAAACCTGCACATAGAATAGTGAAAAATAAACTGTGGCAACTAATTCCATATTAGGTGAAGCATGTGTACAAGACACTTGTGAGTAGAACACATATGGCCTTTGAAGAAGATATGACAATAATCTTGATCTTACGTTGAGCGTCCCTTGTCGCAGTCTCCTATGAAAGGCATGGCATTTCTTTGCACTTGCTTGCCCGATACAGTGGTTATGATAGTGCCGCTGCCTAGCCTGGTAAGTGGAAAGAAGCAGAACAAAAGCTATTATGATCGACAACAGTTTATTTATTTATTTATTTATTTACTTCTGACATTTAGACAGGGTGACTCATTATCACTAATAATGGTGGTCTTCCATGAGGCTCTGTTAAACATAATGAGGTACATTATAGTTTAATAAATATATATATGATAATAATATTAATAACAAAATCTTGAACATCAATTTATAACAGCAATAAACAATAAGTAAGAACATGTATAAACATAATTATATACAAAGGATTTGGTATCCTCGTGATAAAAGAATGGTTTGTTTGTTTTGTTTTGCCTTGCTTTTCGTTCAAGAAATCGTTGTTGCATAATTATAATATTTTAATATAACCTTATAGCATAGACAGTAATTAGTTTTTCAATCCGATGAAAAGTAGTAGCTATTAGCATATTATTTCGGTAAGTATTAGACCTTGAAAAAAGGCAACATATACTTTGAGTTGATCCATATACAGTCGAACCTGCTTTAGCGACCACCTGTATAGAAAGACCACCTGTCTACAAAGACCAATTTTTTTTTTCCTTGAAAACGGTTACTCATTGAAACATGTACTTAAGCAACCTGTACTTAACGACCACCTGCCTATAAAGACCACTTTTTCTTGTCTTCCTAATTCAGCGGTCTTTATAGACAGGTTTCACTGTAGCAAAAAAACAAGATAAAACCTAGACCTCAGCCTAGGTTCCTTTGTACAGCTCAACCAGCTTAAATCCAGCTTTATATTTTCACTAAACAGCCAATGATCGAGTTTCAAGTGATTCTAAAATACTCTAGTATGTGCTAACTTACCTCAGGGGTGCTTCGAAGCAATGGTAGTTAAAATGTTGAGAGCAGCCCGTGGACCTTCCGACTAGGAACTGGAGCATGGCATTGGTCATGAACTGGTACTCTAGGTCAAACTCAACGTGAGGGAGTTCAGCGTAACGGACCAGCGTCTCGGGCTGAAGATTGTGAGGGATCACAAAAGCTGTTGTTCCTTGACTGGTACGACAGAAAGAAAAGAAAGCAAATAAGTAAGAAATCTACTGTGGAAAATATATCTCTTACATGCACCTGTAGATGCATGTGTCAGTCATATTTGATGTAAAGGGAATCAGGGGGATCTCAAAGGCTGTGTGTTCATGAGTGCTTGGTAGAGAAGACACATGCAACCTTAAAGAAAGCTTTCATGGAATATTAAGCCATTGTGTGTCAGTCTAGTGGATAAGGTACCATACATGTACTTTGGATCAATAGATTTGTGTTTCAAGTCCAAGCCATGGGTCTTACATCTTTAAATGGCAAGACATTGTGGGGTGCGCAGTGGTAGCGCAGAGGTCACATAGCCAAGAGGTCCCAGGTTTTGAACCAATTCAATGCACTATAGTACCCTTTTGTAAGGCATTAATTCTCATTACCAAGTCCCTCAGAGAGGACGCAAAACCGTCAGGCCCCTGATTGCTTACTTACAAGCACAAGCATTCTTTCTTAGCAGTCAGGTAAAACAAACAAACCAACCAACCATTATTAGTCTACAATGCACAATTGTTGGTGAGACTACGTGGGACTAGGTTAGGTGGGACTATTACCTGAAATCACAGTTGATGTAAAACGGTTCAAATGGTCCAGCACCGTCAATATCAATGAGCTTAGCTCCAGATGCAGTGTCGCCTGAATAGAAATACTCTGCGCAGGAACTCTTGTAGGTGTCTAAGAAAGAAAGATAATTAAAACAGGTTATATTAAAGATTATACAATTTAACATAGAGCTTGACAACGTGTTTGATGTTTCAATATCAAAGTTCATCAACTATTAAAGGAAAAAATTCTAAAAACCATAATCTCAAACTGCAATTGTGATATTTGTGTGGATTTTCAATGTGAAGACATTTTTCCTTTGAATCATTAGTGTGATACAATTACAATTATCATGAATATTCTGAGAAAAATAAGTTGTACACAAACTTTTTTTGTTGTAATTAAGAATAAAAAGCTTCAGGAGAAAAAAATGCTTGAATACAATGCTTATACCACAAGACATGTCACATACAATACATGTTTTTAACTTGATGAGTTAACAAATTAAATGAGTTGGTTACTCATTAAGGCCCGGTCACACAGCCCTCCACGGGCGTATCGCGGCCGAATCACGGCCAAAAATTTCTGCCCGTGAAGCAGACGCTGTTGGACGCTTTGAGGTCGCGATAAAGACGCGATACAGCCGTACTTTACCCGTCGTTACACGCGGTAAGAAATTCACACGCGGTTGGCCGCGCGAAAAAGTTTTGGGCTGCCCAAAAATTTAGACCGCCGGGTAATCGCGGGCGGTACACGTGGTACACACGCGGTAAAGACGCGGTACAGACGCGGAACGAACGTGCTAGGACGTGCTACGGCCGCGGTTAAGACGTGGTTACACGCGGAATTGGACGCGAAATTTTAGCGGGTAATCGCGGGTGGAGCACGGTCATAGCACGTTTGTTCCGCGTCTGTACCGCGTTGTTATCACGTGCATTAGCGTGTGTACCGCGTGTAAGCGTGGTAGGCCGCGGTACCGCCGCGCTTCACCCGCGATAAGGACGCGGAACAGTCGCCGGCGTCTGTTCCGCGGGCATACCACGGGTAAACCGCGGGTAAGCCAATTTTGCACATTTTCCACCACGGGCAACCGCGGGCAAAAAAAAAATCGCGAAATTTTACCCGCGATACAGACGCGAAAGGCTGTGTGACCGGGCCTTTAATTACACTCATCTTGATATGTTCCATACCAGGTTTAATTAGTAGTAAAAATGTCTTCAGTTAATTGGTTACTAATATCATGGTGATTAAGTACATGGGTTATATTTGTTTTATTAGATTATATTGAATTTTGTGAACACCTTTGCATGTTTAACAACTTAGATGAAACAATAAAGTTAAGTATGCAAACATTAGCTCCTTCAAATCTTTTCACAGCCTTCTAGATGATTTAATTAATTTAATTATCTTTATGGCTATGAAATTGTAATAAAGAACATAAACAAATGAGAAAGTAGCAAAATATGTTTTTTTTATAAAAGGCAACAATACACAAACAATAAAGAACAACATCTAAACAGTACAATATTGTTAAAAAACAAGTAACAGTTACTTTCGTTCTTTTTTTAGGAATATCAATGACTCGCTTGAAGTTTTCCAGGCTTTTTTCTATCACTACAAATATATTTTATGATTTTTATTACAAACAACTAAGAAGGAATGCATATAGATTCAAAGACATTTACTTTTATCTATCATTTGCATTTTACTCCACATGTATTTGCATATTTGAAGCTATAACATAAGGATAATTTTTTAATGCTGATAAAAGCAAATAGAGAGAGATCAAAGCAACATTATTTCACAGAAAAATGTTAGACATTTAGAGAGGAGAAACCAAGTGAATATGATAGTAAAGCAATTATTGAAAAATTTAAGTTTTCTGAATATTATGCTTATCTTTGCAATAAAAACTTTTGGAATGTGGAATTTGCATTTAAATTTTGTCTAAAGCCAGTATACAGCATTAGTGTAAACCTAGATATATTTTATAAATAATTGGCATCGAGAGTGCAATTTTGTTTCATTGTTGCTTGTTTGCTTGTTTGCTTGTTTTCTTGTTTGCTTGTTTCAAAATAATCATGATTATGCCAAAAAATGAATTATTAGAAAATAGTGAAATATAAGTAGGAAGGAGAATGTTAGAAGAGTTGGCCTCATTTGAAGCAATACAACTCACTGATGTTAGAATCAATCTTACCTCATGGAAAGTCCTTAAATTATAAGCTGGATAAACATGATCAAAATTGGCAATGATTTAAAACTGATAGTGATGCTTATGACAAAAATCATAATCATAAAACCAAGTTGTCCATTATTGAAAGCAAAATCTTATAAAAACCACAATCAGGTTGTTTTTATAACCTGAAGTATATTATAGATTCTATAAGAATACAGATCACATGCAAAATGTACAGTCTACAAATATGTTTTGGAGTCTATCCACTTTCCTAAATAAAAACATAATGAAACTGACGTGTGATGAATTAATGAAGAATTCAACTGTACGTGTATCTTTATGATATTTACTTATTAGCTGAAAGCCATTGAGATCAGCTTGGTCTATTGATGATTTAGAACTGGCTGGTGTACATATTTAAAATAAATTTTCTTCGAATGATATCATCTGCCCAATCTTACAATGAAGGAGTTATTTTTAAGATAAGACTCCTAAAAGTCATTTAATAATGGTTTTCATACACCTGTTGACATAGACAGATCACCCTATTGCAAAATGTAAAATATATCAAGAAGACAAATAAACAGAGTACTTTACAGCCCCACTGTACTACTTGTAGCTACTTGCTCCCCCTATATAGAAAACAATGTCTAATCGGTGACCAGTGGTCCCCATTATCCTCTTTTTCTTATGTTAATTGAGAGGTGGGTTAATGAGATAGCCACCTGTCAGTGACCTCCCTGGGTGGTCTAATCCCTCCTAGCCAAACTAGTACAGACGACCTTTAAGAACACACTTACAAAATTGGCAACGGACGCCGGTGAACTTGGGGTCGGTGCAGAGGCACACCGGTCTCCCGTCCTGCTCCACACAGGTGCCTCCATTGGCGCACTCAACCTCGCCGGCCACGCAGGGGTTCCCGGGGAGGGGGCAACCATCCAGGGTCACCCCCCTCATGACCAGGGTCCCATAGACCTCGGTAGGGACCAGCATCTCCTCCTGCATGTAGATGTTCTGCATGCATCCCTCGAATCCTGGCGGGGAGAGAGAGAGTGAGAGAGAGAGGTAGAGAGGGAGAAAGGAACCAAAGAGGATGGGAATTGGGGTGAGGGATTGGATTAAGAGCGTAATGGAAGCCATGGGGTCAGGGGTTAAGGTTGAAGGGTCATTCACAGGTCAGGGTTAGGGTTAAGATTGAAGGGTCATTCACAGGATGGAGAATGGAAGAAGAGTTGAGATGCAGGGTTAATTAAGATGTAGAATTATAAACAAGCAAAGATTAGACATCGAGACAGCGGTAAAAGAATGAAGCAAATAGAAGAATGTGTCAGAATCTTAAAATTCACAAGAAAAAGGAATAACAAATAGAATTATAGAGTTTAAAGCAAGTGAAAGAGTTTTGGAAAAAATGTTATCCAAAAAAAATGAACAGGGAAAAAAAATAATGAGCAAGACAGAAAGACATAGAAAGAAAGATATAAACACACACACATACACACACATACAGTCACATAGTTGGATTAAAAGATGGAGAAGAAGAGAGAGAGAAACATGGATCTAAAAGCATGTTTAGCACAAGACAAAGCACAAATAACAGAAATTAGTAAATGCTTGTAAATGAATGAAATGAATAGGAATGAAATTAATTTGTACTGACAGCAGGATATATGATAGAAAATCAAATCAAATGAAATTATAGCAAAAACAGCAATAAAATAAAGCATTGGCTATCTGCTGTACATGTTAATCTATGACATAACAACTTAAATTAATGCATCTTTCTTTAAAATGAAATAAAATTGCAAGCTTTGAAGACTTAGCAGGCAGGATCATACTTAAAACTGCGTTATAGTTTCAGATTGTTTGTATGGAGCATAATTAGTAAGCTCATCAGATAAAGATAACATATTGACAGTATAACTACATATACATTTGCTCCAGATACGTAGAAAAATATTTCACCGTGCATTAATTTGGCCAAATACATTCTCTTAAAATGTTAGTCTCCAATTTTTCTCCTTTACCAGTACTAAACGTCTTTTTTAAAAGCCCAGAAAGAGAATTTCTATCTAGCTCTTCATCTTAACTAACTGAAATTGAAATATTTCATACCGGATCCTATTATTGCAAGCATTAATATAACGAAAATTTATGCAAAATGTATTAAATTCAATATAAGAGCGTTAGTTTTGGGACAGCGCATTAAAGAAAACAAAATGGCTAAAATGAAATGACCGGGTGAGAGGAATAGAAAAGTGGAAAGGCATGTGTTAAAATATGCATAGATGAGTGAAATAACAAGATATGTTATAAAGGTAAGAATTATAGAGTGACAAAGTCTTAATATACAATGGAGATCAATTATTTGCAACATATTCAAGTCAGCTGTTTTTTCTGCACATATTTGTCAAATTATCAATTTTTTTCTGTTAACAAGAAAAATTCAATATAAATTCTTAATGTACACAAATTCTTTAAAAAAAGTTTTGATTTAATTTTCTGGAAAAGAGTGTACATATTTATTCCAGTTACTGATATCATTTTCATTGCAATCTCCACTGTAATCAAGACATGATAAATCTGAAGGAAAAACAAGAAAACATTCATTTTAGAGTGATAACATAGAGTAAGGAACGACGTCATTTATGAAGTGCAATTGAGAAGGGGGTTTGTACGAAAGTGATAAGCTGGAGAATATGAATGGTTGTGACTTGTGAAAATGAAGCTAAGATTTAAAAGAATGACAAACCTAAAGCTACAGCATTTATAGAGGGACATGTAGGAAAGGGAAGAGAACTCGTACCCCCCCCCCTCCCCCCTCCCCTAAATATAAGGATTCTTTAGATTAAGGTAGAGATGCAGAGAAACGGGTGTCAGACAATTTTGAGCGAAAAAGCTTTGATAAGGGTTAGATTTTTGAGAATCAAGGCCAGTTGAGAAGTTGCATAGAATGAGATAGAAGGAAACATCCTCACTGGATACAAAGTTTGATTCAAATATGACATCAGTTTCCACTGCTCCCCTTCTTCTGCAGAATTATATATGTGTCACCAATCGATGTCTAAAATATTTTAGACAAAATACTACTGTAAACAACATCACCAATATTGTACAATAATGGGTGTTTGGAATTAGATTATAATACCAATATAATCATTGAATTAAATACCATACAGTGATATCTTGAAATAAGCTTTAAGAAACAGGCTTAAACATAATCAGTCAATTTCATCATAAAACTTGGTTTGAGAAGGTGAAATGTGTGCGATGGCATAGAAATTATCTGGCAATATTTACAAGCAAAATCAATCGCTTCCTCGTCTTTGCTATTGTGTTGGTTAAATGGAGACATTATCTAAAATGTACTGTTATTTTTTTCTCTACATCCCTTACATACATGTTTCTACTATACAGTGCATTCCAGGAAAAATGAAACCGAGAATTATCAATGTTTTATCATAACTTGATCAACATTATAATGAATAACTAACACATATTTGTCAAGCTTAGATCCTCTTCTTTCATTTGATGCAACCCATTGTGATTAAGTTATGATAAAACGTTGATGATTCTCGGTTTCGTTTTTTCTGGGACGCACTGTAGTATGTCCCAAACAATTTGGAGACTCACCCTTGCCGTTCCAACCTCCTAAGTATACTGTTCCGCGCGGTGTTAGAGTCTCTGTGAACATGAACGATGCAGACTCCCCATCCAGCTCCAACACTGCTTTGCTGCGATTAATAAATTAATTAATTTCATTTAATAATTACAACCATAAAGATTTGGTGAGTAATATTAACCTTTGCTTCAATAAACTTGTTCCACAAGGATCAATTTGTTTATAAAGTGTGCAATATCATTATATTGTGGTCTGGCTGTTTTTAACAAGTAGATTTCATTTCATTTCATTCTTACAACCATCCGTATTTGATGAATATTAACATACACTTAGTCCACAATGATTGATTTGGGTGAAAATGTTGTGCATTATCAATATATTTTGGTCCGGAGGTAGGAGGGTTGACCCCTCTCTCAATATTATGAAGCTCCAACACTGCTTTGCTGCGATGAGCAAGTAGATTTCATTTCATTTCATAATTACAACCGTTAAGATTTGATGAATATTGGCATTTGCTTCATCACACTTATTCCACAATGATCAGTTTGTTTACAAAGATTGTGCCTTATCATTAAATTGTGGCCCGGCTACGATCAACAAGCAGATTTCATTCCATTTTATAATTAAAACCATCAGGATTTGATGAATATTAGCATTTGCTTCGATTACACTTATTCCACAATGATCAGTTTTTGTAAAAAGATTATGCATTATCAATTTTTGTGGTCTGGTGGTATTAGGATTAACCCCTCTCTCAATACTTTTTTTAAAATAGAAATATCCATTAAAAAAAACAAATACATTTAAACATAGCTGTAAGTTTATTCATCTAAACAAAAGATTTTAGCTTGATGTCACTAACAAAATCATGTTTAGACAACTCATTTATGCAGTAGAAACAACTTTAAATTAATTTGATTTTATTCTACTAATCCACTTTAGAGATGATTTTGATAAAATGTTTGCATATCGTGTAACAAAAACAAATCAAAATCCAGCTTAATTTATGTGCTTTCATAACCAATATTTTTCATGGATATGTACTTTAGCAGAAATGTGTGCTATAGAATTGGTTTGAGAAATTAATTATTTAGATGAATAAGTCCCTACCTCTTTGCCATTGTAAGATTGACTTCATGCCATAAACCATCGTGTAGCCTTGCTCCAACGGATGTGGAGTAATCGAGAGTGAGAGCAATGTGAGGATCGGTCGCTAGCTTCACCATCAGAACACCATCCTCAAGATCCAACTGTACAATAGAGAGCAATTCAGTTTTAGCTTTACATAACACAATGATAAACTAATTACAAAGAGGTAGGATCGATCCAAATCAATCGCAAGTCCTCCAATCAATTGCAGGTTTTGCAGTCTCCTATCTCTTATTTACAAAGCTTCGATTGATATCAATCACAAACAAGTTATGATTGATATCAATTCTTTGTAAGTCGGGGCCCAGGTCTGGGAGAAGAAAGTTATAATGCAATTTTTTTTCCAAGATTGGATGTCTCTGAATACATTGTGAATTAAAATCCAAAACAAGAATTGCATACTGGAATTTTAAGAGTCTGCATGTTGACAGAGGAAAGGGGAAGGCAACGCCTCACATATTTGCAATGGGCAACAAAAAATGAAAACAGCAATACCAGCTTTTTAATAATAGCAAATAGACAAAAAATAGAGGGCCATGACCACCAATGTCTGTAACAGACCTAGATAATGATGAAGATGATATCTGACTAGAACATAAAATTGATTTCAATTAACTTCCCTTGACAAAAACAATGTGTGATGCCCAGATTTGGGGATCTTATATTACCAGATAGAAGTATTATTAGAAAAGACAAAATGAGCCCTGTGCATGTAGCTACATTCAAAATTATTTGATCTCTTTTGGTATCCACTTTTTAAATCATCATCTTTTCCCCCTTATTCCTTTTTTTTTCATTCTTATCAATCTGCATAAAGTAAAGAGCTTGCATGCTTACGGTTAGCCTTCCTTGGTGTGTGTCATTCATATAGACATGAGCTGTCATGATCAGAGCAGAGGCGTTAGCTGTCCTGAATGCAAATCTGTCGTAAACAAACAAATAAAGAAACAAATGAATGAATAAAATGACCAATAAACAAACTGCAATTTAGATGCTGACAACGGATAGTCAACCTGTTTGAAACATCGAGCCACTCCCGCCACCCATCCTCTCCAAGCGCTATAGTTCTCCTTAGAACTATAAGCTAAGAAAGATAACCAACAGTCTTTTTCAAGATTACACAAACAGTCCTTTTCAGGACTCAAGCCTACTGTATAAAGTGTAATTTGCACTTTATAATCCAGCAATCTCATCTAAGACTTGTCTTTCCAAGCATTCATTTGACCACATATAAATTTGTTTAGACATTTTATTTCTCAATGATATACTGTCCTGATGGGGCTTCTGGCTTGTTGTGTTAGGAAAACTTGCGTACATGCCTTGATGGCCCCCAGGGCTATGTTGGCGGGAGCCTATTCTTCCTGGCAGATCCAACCAAGCCGATATATATCATTGAGAAATAAAGTATCTAATCTAAATGTATTACATTGCTAGAGCAAGGACATACATATACATGTACAGTGTATATCAGCAACAACAAATGGCAATATGAGTAATGAAAAAAATTACAATACCGATACAGGTCTACGGATCATAGTTATTAGGTTAACCATTTCCATACCCGGGCAGCTTGACCGGATGCACCTGCTATTGCAATATTTTTATGTTTTCCATTGATTTTGTCTCAATTCATGTTTGTTATATTGTTGTAAATAAAAAAAAAATTGAATCCTTGCTAATTGAAGAAAAGTGTATGGTGAACTACAGCCTTCAAAACTTCTATTGCTTACAATAAGATTAAAATGCAACGTGTTGATCTAGACTTACTCCGAAAGTAGTTTGATAAGGTTATGCGTATGATAGTAGCTCAAGGGTTAGACATAGCTTTATACTACCATCAATAACCTTAACAAATTACTAAGTTAAACTCTACCTTAGGCTCAAGTCAGATGTATGCCACCCCTCCAGATGAATGTAGGATTCTGGGGTCGGGAAGGTCACCGGGACGATGTCGATGTCGCGGCACTCAAAAGACGGGGCTCCGCCCATGAAGAAGACCCTGGTGGAGGACTGGGCGTGGAGGGCGCTGGTCACGTCAAAACGATTGATATAGACCTCCTTCAGGCATCCGACAACGTTGGTGCTTACAGGAAGACCTTAGATTGATAGATAGATTAAAAAAATGATTTCATTCATCATAAAAAACATTTAAATACAATAACATACAATATCACTTAGATATAAAGTAACAATAACATACATTACAAAGATAATCATATAATGTACATCATAAAGGTAATCTGAACAAAATATAGGGGAAAGTGAGTATTTATGAGAATGAGGAGACAGCTAGAAAGGAAATGCCTTATTAGTGCTGCCACCTACATAAAACTGAAAATTTGAAATTACGGGAAAATTATGATTTTCAAACGAGTTTTTGATGTGAGAAAATTAAATAGGCCTATAGTTGTCTTCTTCACAAAATCTAAAGATTATGAAGCTGAATTAAAATGGAATTTAGAAATATATCCAGGTACTATACGTGAATAATCTCAAGCATTCAATATTGTGTGTCATCAAAGTGATAGGGTTAAGGGTATGACACTCATCAGAAGTTTCCATTACTTGGGCTGAGATTCACATACTTGAAATATACAGGCAAGTGACACTTTGGAATATTAGCAGATTGTGTAAGATTATTTCAATGGGCAAGTCAAAGCTATCACATGTTTGTCATTATGTTACTGATGCATCAAGTACATGTATACCTCATGGGTTCATAAGTTCATGACCCCAATAGTGCAATACATCGCATCAATTATCAAGCAAAATAATACTTTCTGATGCTTACAATATGAACATGACGGACAAAGAAAGAGGTCAAAATATACAGTTCCTCATTCTACCCTCAACAACTGCTGTGGTAGACGAGAAATGAACATCCCTTCACTGCTATTATGTAAAAATGTGAAGAACAGGTGTCACATGCATATTCACCTGTTCTACACATTTTTACATAATAGCAGTGAAGGTATGTTCCTTTATCTACCACAGCAATTGTTGAGGGTAGAATGAGGAACTGTATATTTTGTCCTCTTTCTTTGTCCCTCATGTTAGTAGTGTTATGTACTTGGAGATTTAAAAAACATAAATGAACCACACAGTTTGAACTTGCCTAATAACAAGCTTCACATCTTAGTAAGATTAACCCTCTTTAACCCCCAATTGGGTCAAAGGTTACAATATGCAAATGAGCTTACCTGGATATCCATCCAGACCCTCTCCACCTCCGATATGACTGACAGGGTCAAAGGTGAAAACAGTGTTGCTTCCTGTGATGGTGTGGTTCATGGTGGAGTTGTCAAAGGTCACCGTGACGACCCTCTCATTCTGAGCGACCGAGACGGAGTGCCAGCTGATGGTTAAAGTGGTGGAGAAAATGAAAGAGAGGTGTTAATTAGATCTCTGAATTTGCAGATGAAGTTTATTGATTGTAAAATATTTGCTAAATGTAACTCCTTCAAGAAAACAAATTGGATTTCATATGCAGGTGATTAAGAAAGCTTAAGTGATAAGAGTGCTTTTAGTAACATGGCTCACACACAAGTATGGCTCATCATATGATAAACAACTACACACAAGTATGGCTCATCATATGATAAACAACTACACACAAGTATGGCTCATCATATGATAAACAACTACAGGAACTTATTTTTAAGAGTGATGAGAAAATATATCTAGTCTATGTAGTTGTGCATTTAGTTTTTAGATAGTGTACATGTTTAATTAAGTATATCAACACGACTTGGACCTTTTAAACCTCATTCCTTCCTTTTTGCTAAATTCAAATGTTCCTTTCTTTTTGCTAAATTCAAATGTTCCTTCCTTTTTGCTTTATTTTCAAATGTTCCTTCCTTTTTGCTAAATTCAAATGTTCCTTCCTTTTTGCTAAATTCAAATGTTCCTTCTTTTTTGCTCAATTTCAAATGTTCCTTCCTTTTTGCTCAATTTCAAATGTTCCTTCCTTTTTGCTAAATTCAAATGTTCCTCCTATGCAGATGACCTCTTCCTAACACAAGAAATGGTCAATGATTCTATTTTCCTGCACATCATCAGATAGCTAGACAAGTAATTAGATAGTTATGCCAATCATCTATGTAGTTGAGGCTACTTCAGTATATGCTCTATTCAAATACACTTTACACTGGTTAAGTACATTCTCACTCCTACTGGCCAATTTATATATGCGTAGTATGCAATATATAAAATGGAACTGCATGTTTAATTGTTTCAATATGTACAAATTCTATGGATATTTTTTTGCACTGAAAGATAAAAGTGAATCAATTACGTGTGAAATGCATCTGAACAAAGACAAAAAACGGCAAGGAAGGTTGGGCAGTGACAGATAAGGGGGCACAAACAGCACATATCCCTCTCTCCACCCTTGTTAAACCCAATTTCATATGAACCTGATTAGGGTAATTATATTTCTCAATGTATATCAGTTTGCTGAGGTTTTTTTAACAATTCAACGCATCACTGAATATGACATCATGCTACTGATATCCCATACTCTCACTTACACTTATAATTATGTTTATATTATTTTCAATAATCAGGTGATACAGACTGTACAAAGTCATGTTCAAAATTTGAAATCAATGATTTCCCCAAGTCATTTGTCACTAGTGAATTCTTGGTATTTAGAAATAAATGACAAACTTCCACTCAATGTAATCCTTTTCATTTCAATGTACCTTCTTTTCATGAAACAAATGCAAATAAATGAATTATTTTTTACAATGCAAAAACCAGTAAGAGTAATTTTCTCTTGACATAAACGCTATCAAGTAGATCAATGCATTCTTTTCAGGATGTCGGGATCAAGATACACCGTCGACCAGACTGAATAATTTGAAACGGAAATCTATGTCCCTTCACAGTTCAGAATGAGAGCTGCAGGAGTCTGGAATATTTGTCATTTAAACCATGATTATAATGACACTAATCTTCTAACATCCTGTGTACGGCGTACGCTACTTCTCTTCAAGGAATTATGCGTTGGTTACGGGAGAGATTGAAGAAATAACATGCAAATTGTTTCAAGATGCATCTCAAATTCATGTGCACCCATTAATTTTCAAAGGGAATAATACTCCATGTACATGAACTATGTTTAAAACTTGATAATATGAGACTGATGTATGTTTCGATTGTTCCATTTTTATGTAGTTAATATTTGTACCTAAATTATACAGGTATTTTCAAAAGTACTACTCAACATGCATAACTGTCAATCTCTAGGATAAACTTTTTTTTTCTTCTTTTTTCTTCTTCTTCATTATTTCTCTTTATCCTCCTTCTCCTCCTTCATCTCCTCCTCCTTCTCCTTTTTTCATCTTCTCAATCTTTCATCTTCTCAATCTTTTTCTCATTCCTATTCTCCATCTTTTTTTCTTCTTCTTCTTTATCTTTTTCTTCTTTCCATACTCGTTCTCATTTTCCTTCTTCTTCTTCTCCTCCACTTAGTTCTTTTTCTTCTCCTTCTTTTCCCCCTTCTTCTTCATTTCCTCCTCCTCCTCCTCCTTCTTCTTCTTCTAATTAAGCTATGCACCTTATCACAAAGATGAAGTTGAAGGAGTTGAAGGGGTTGAAAGGGTTCAAGGATGTTGTATAATAACTGCACATAATAATTAACAACACCTACATCATTTCAAGATATCAGCATCACAACAACTTGCCGGGCTTTTTTTTTTTTTTTTTGACAGTAACTTACACATTATCATTGACGACACCAAGTTCCAAGAACTCCAAGATGTCCTGTGTGCTGTATTTGATATTAACAGAGAGCTTGCCAGCCTGGATGAACACAGCTAGGTAGGTCTGGGTTGGTAGAGCTCCCACTGCATAGTACAAGACTGCTGATTTGTGGGTTGGATTGATCTGTGTGGTTAGGTGGATTAAAGAATCATCGTGATTGGGTGATACTTATCAATCTGGGTGGATTACATCTATCATTCCCATGGTAACTCAAGTAGTTAATCTTTTTTCTTCAGAAATAAATCTCACAACTCATTATTATTCTTTTGCCACATATATGAAATAATGAGATGATTGTGTACAATTAATGTCTTGACTGCTCGTAAATACATGGAAACTGGGATATACATCTGTCAGATGTTTTCATCATCATCTTCCCACTAACAAAGCATCATGTCATGCTGAATTAGCTAGCTCATCAGTACCAATGTCAATTAAAGACATCACATTCATACATCATTCATTAGTTTGGCACAAGCCATTCAAGTACAGATTAATCAAAATAACTACTGAAAATGAATCCAGTATCATGGGATTTCAATCAAAGTGAATTTGATTTTGAATAAGAATAAACTGGAAAAAAAGCTTGGTACAAACAGAGCTGCAATAAAAATCTGTATTTACGACATACCCGTACTTGCCCCAAAATACTTTGCCAAATGCAACTCAATACAACACTCATCAGAAAATTTGTTTTAAATTTTCCTTAGATTGTGCTTGAATATGCATGTGGGCCAGACTAAAAAAAATTAAATGTTTATATCTTAACCTATTACCTACTGACTGCTCTCATATTTGCAGTAGGTTAATTGCACATTGACTCCTTATTAGTTGAAATTATTACATAAAACTATATGAAACTATATACAACATGTCCATATTGGAGGGTAGAATTTGTCAAATAAGACCTTCTTTGAGATTCGATACCTTATCTACATGTTTATTTTACTTTCATAACTTTTACCAAATATTACAAATATTAAATGAAGGCAACTCCACACAGATGTACAGTTTAATCCTAAATCATACTGTAAACTCGTATTAAGCCTCATGGTTTATAAGCAAAATCATTTCATCACACGTAAACCTACTCTAAGCCGCTGGGTTAATTGTTTTCAATTCAATTTATTTCCACTTTAAAAACAATTTACAAATCAATACAAATGAATAATAGTGGTGGGGTCATGAAAAGCACTGATTGGCTTATTGAAAATGACCCCTTAAAAAGTATACACATAACATATTATACATTGTAAGAAAATATGGAGCAAATGAAACGTAAAATTAAACATCACTGACCTTAAACTTCATACTGATTAGGTCTTGAGCACTGTAAGTTTCTTGGTTTCCCAGATACAGTGTGTAGGTGAGATACTGGAAGCCTCCGAAAGTAACTGGGGTAGCACCTGATAAAAAAAAGGGACAATTAAGGAAACAAACTGATAATTCTCTGGTAATCACACATTATTCATTTTTTTTTTAAATATTAAACATCACCATAATCATCAGAAGATTAAGAATGTATTTGAGACTTGATAATCAGGTACAGAACTTTAGGAAGAGTAGATCACCACCTGCAATATATGGGGAACCTCGAAAATAAAACAGTTGTAAAATAGCACCCATTATAAGATTGAGAAGTCATCACAAAGAAAATAAAAATCCAAGTTCAATAACAATTGTTTTCTTCATCTCTACTGTCTCAAAAGGTATTAATTTACACAAAATATGAGTCAATATTGGATATATAATATGTAGTTTGATTATAGCTGTCAGCAGAATAGCACAGTAATTATCTGGGGTAGCACATGACATCAAGAGAAAGGTGATAAATCACTTGTTATCACACATCCTTTTTCTCTCTTTGAGAAATATTTATCCTCCCAAATCATGATTACTGTAATCAACAATTAAATACACATTATTTTATTAATTTTTATAATTTTCTTTTCTGGTCTTTTTTTCTTTAAAAAATAGAAAATAAGTTATGACTAGTTAATAATATTACTAATGACAGGAAGAACCAATTATTCAGTGGTCATATCAAGGAATTTTCAATTTTTGGATGAAAGAAATGGATACCGGTAATAGGTGTCATATATGCCATACTGGACACAATGGAACAGCCCTTTTCAGTTTGTCAAGGTTTATATTGATAATCACCTCTTCCTTAGCTCTGCTTTAAAATAATGAATGAGTTATCTCTCCTGTGCACAACTCCACTGTATATGAGTACAGACCACTTGGTCCCTAAAGGAAATTTTTTTAATTAGCTTTATAAATTAGCTCCTCTACACATCTTTATGAGTACTAGAGAACTATGTCCCACATGGCACATTACATCCACAGTACTGCCTGCAATCAACTTCTCTCCCTGATTATGTTGCTAACAAGACTACAGCATGCCCCATACAGCGGAGTGTATCCAGCAAAGCCACCCCACCCCCTCCCTTTTTTCATCTTTTTTATTGCTTGTCATTGTTCTTGTGTGTTGGACACCCCTCCCCCTTTTGATTTGTTCTTGCCCGATGATTTGTTTTAATCATTATGCTTGCTAGCCAGAATTGGGGAGAATTGAACCCCTCCCTCCCTCCCCTCCCTCCCCTTTCTCCCCTCTCTCCTCTTCCCTCCCTTTCCTCGCTCCTCTTCCCTACCCTCTCTCCTATTCCCTCCACTCCCTCCTCTTCCCTCCCCTCTCTCTCTCCCTCCCCTCCCCTCCCCTCCCCTCCCCTCCCCTCCCCTCCCCTCCCCTCCCCTCCCCTCCCCTCCCCTCCCTCCCCTCCCTCCCCTCCCCTCCCCTCCCCTCCCCTCCCCTCCCCTCCCCTCCCCTCCCCTCCCCTCCCCTCCCCTCCCCTCCCTCCCTCCCTCCCTCCCTCCCTCCCTCCCTCCCTCTCCCTCCCCTCCCCTCCCCTCCCTCCCCTCCCTCCCCTCCCTCCCCTCCCTCCCCTCCCCTCCCCCCTCCCCTCCCTCCCTCCCTCCCTCCCTCCCTCCCCTTCCCTTCCCTCCTCTCTTCCCTTTCCTTCCCTCCCTTCCCTTCCCTCCTCCCCTCCCCTCCCCTCCCCTCCCCTCCCCTCCCCTCCCCTCCCCTCCCCTCCCCTCCCCTCCCCTCCCCTCCCCTCCCCTCCCCTCCCCTCCCCTCCCCTCCCCTCCCCTCCCCTCCCCTCCCCTCCCCTCCCCTCCCCTCCCCTCCCCTCCCCCCCTCCCCTCCCCTCCCCTCCCCTCCCCTCCCCTCCCCTCCCCACTTCCTTCTATATTTTTACAAAATCCTGGAGCTGCCCCTGAACAGGTAGCTGATTGAATCATCACGTGTGCCAATCCCATTGGAGCTGACTCAGAAGAACGCTGCAGCTGACGAGCGAGCGCCCAGGCCCCTTACTCACAGTCAGCTGACAACCGCTAATTACCCGTTCACGTGTTCTGTTCCGCAGGCCTGCAGGAACCGTTCACATTGCAACCAACTCTCCCTGACTTTAAAGTGGGACTGCACTACTTGTAGCTACTTGCGCCCTCTATATATCCACAAATGCCTAAGCGGTACCCATTGGTTCCCCATAGTCCCTTTTTTCTTATAATTGAGAGCTAATTTGATGTGATAACCACCTGCCAGTGACCACGCATGGAGGTCTAATCCTTCCTGGCCAAACTAGTGCAGACAGGCTTTAAAGACACTTTAATGTGATCAGTATCTATTTTAAAACACAATGCAACCATCCCTATTGTTCCTGCCATTTTCTTTTGTACTCTCCTACTTAGAAACCCCCAAATTGCAAGATGTTCTCTAACGCATCTGGACATGAGAATGCAATACCAAAACCTATTTGCAAGTCATAGTTTATGCTAATATGATTTCCACCTGAGCTAAAAAGTAAACTGTACTCATTTCCCTTACCTTTTCAAATATATTGTAATTCAGGTATTTCCTCAATAAACTGTTATCATATGACTATTTGACCCTCCTAATTTCTTTATCTCTTTCCTACTTAAATCAAAGGAAAACAATTATAGTACATTCTTTTTTAGTTCCATAAAAAGAAAAAACTTCCCTGTATAATTATTTTAATCATTCTTGAACCTCTTTTTACCCTGCCTAAAATTATAGGAATGAATCAAAAAAGAAATGAAATACAATTCTTGTGATATCTGATACATGTATATCAATACTTAGAAAGAGCTGTTTTGCTAATAAAGACCAAAATGGATGCCTATAAATGGAAGGTTACAACCTGAAACTTATGAGGAACCCACGCAAGTATTAAAACAAAATATCATAAGGGGAATGTTCTGGAGAATATTTTTTTATAAATGCGAAAGCTCTTTTCCGATTTGTAATCTTCACCCCCAATCTTCATGGACTTTTTGCCCTCTGTTTCAACCCCCGTTTCCTATCTAGATACTATAATTGGAGGGGAAACTTTTTCCTGTGAGCTCGCGAGACTGCACATGATGCACCGAGCCCCCAGCGCTAAATGTCTTGTGGTTTAAGGACTATTTTGTACCTAACAGTAGTGAAACATTGTCAAGTCATCACTAAAATAGAAAACTGAATGTAGAGGTGGTCTAATTGATATGTGTACTCCCGACTAAACTGATGTTTTCTATATTTGTATTATTTAAATAATTACAATGATGCCTGCTTTTTGTCCAAACACATATTTTAATTAGTTGTCAGGGATACCATTGAGGTTCATCCAATTACCCTGAAAAGAGACCCAAGAATTTTGGAGCCTAACAGTAACATATTCTGTATAATATGAAGCCTAAAAAAGAGAGCTGTCAGAGCCTGTAATCAGACAGAAGCTCTAAATTGGCAATTACCCTGACTTGTATTCTAATGAATGTTGCACATGTAAATTTTCTTAATCTTAATATATAACTGTCTTCAAACCTTTCCAAACAGGGGGTATAATTTTGTTTTGAAATTTAATTGATTTGTGCTAGATCTATTATGTCCACTAGAATATATATGCACAGACACCCAAAAGAAGTCTGCAAGAATAGTTTTCATTGCAAGGAATGATGTTAATATCAAATACATAGAAAGCAGGATTGAGTTTCAATTTGAAAAATCCTATCGAAGGCAAAAAGCTGACCAAATTAAACTATATAAGATCATGACTCGACGAGAAGATATACAGAGAGATGTATTATTCTCTATGAGAGGTCATATCTTCAAAATTGAGAAGCCACATTGTAAGACAGCTAGGTGCTAGGCAGAGGTCCCTTGCTTTTTGATCTATTAACAACTGGAACGGGCTACCCCAATCGACAGTCCAAGCATCATCTATTAACAGCTTTAAATCTAAACTTGAAAAGCATTAGCATCACCATCCTAACAAATATACCCCTTTATCACCACACTAATGCTGTGATTGTCAAGATGGGCTCATAAGCGATGCTTCAAGCCTCAACAACCAAGTATACCAAGTTAACCAAGAAATGATGAGAATGTTCTTACCTTCATGTTCACATCTCTCTCCTTCGTAGCCACTCATGAAGCAGTTGCAGGACAGGGATGAGTAGTCATTGATGCACTCTCCATGCTGACAGGGGTTGACAGTCTCACAACCATTGATACACCCATCCTCAACGCGAACTGATAAAAAAGAGAGAGGGAGAATAATCACATTAAAAGTGATTATAAACAGAACATGAAGTTACAGGGTAGTAAAGATTCATGATTAAGATATCTAAGCAAATTGTTTAAAGATATTGTCTTTTTGTAGCTATAGGAGAGCGTTAATTAAACTTATAATTTAACACAGCGTTAGCATCCTTCTGGCTCTGAACAGGCGGTATATTCAAGGAGCTTGGCAACTTCTTCAGTTCATGACGAGAGTTTAATACTGAGAACAATTCATCAAATTTCCTTTATACAACTTTAACTTTAATCTGTCCCCCCCCCCCCTTCCCCTTCCATTTCTTTTTTACCATCATCAAAAAATCAAAATATATTGATCAATGCGCAATATACCCTACATAATGTACATTCATTGAGGATACACCAATTTTAAGGATATATGCTAAATATGTTGGTATGAAATAAATTGGTTGAATCATATCATATCACTATGAGAGGGAAAAAAGGTTTGGTCATCAAATATGGGGAAAATGTGAAAAAATCATCTTTGGATGAATTTCCGCAGGACCGTTCCCAATAGGGTTAGAGAGGCAACCCTATAATAGCTAAAAATGAAATCATTTCCTTGCCTTGATCACTTATAATTTGTTTAATCTACCGGATAAAAAGGAAATTTAATGACCCCTTTAAATCAACTCAAAGCATAAATGTATATCATTAGATGAAAGACTTTGCACCTATTATAGGTTTACAAAATAATGATTATTACCTCTGTAACTTATGGGCACATCATTTCCTGCTTCCGTCGGAGTTGCTTCAGCGCCGCTGCCGACTGTTGATCCACTCCTCTCTGTCGCAGCGGCTTCAGTAGGTAGCGACCCGCTCGTCTCACTGGTCCCCGAAGCCGTCACGTTCCCGCTGGTGTCATTTGAGCTCGGTGGCTGAATGTCAGGGAGGGCGGTGGTGTCAGGGGCAGGGGGGTTGGTGTCGGCAGGGGGGTTGGTGTCGGCGGTGGCAGGGGGGTCAGTGGGGGCCTGGTTGGTGCCTTGAGGGGGGCTGGTGGTGACCTGGATGGGGTTGGCGGCAGCAGGGGTGGAGCTGGAGGAGGTCCAGCTGAATTGGACGTTAGCGATGCAACCCATCAGCCTGTCGTAGCTGCGTGGCATCGAGGATATATCCATGGATGGGAGACCTGATGAAATAAAACAAGAAGAGAAGAAAAAAATTAGAGGGTTGCAATAAATAACTGTAACACCTACATTGTAGATGCTTTTGTATCACAAATAACCAACTGCAGAATTACATGTAAATGTATTCTTATTTAGATTTCATTTCTGTTATTTAATATTTTCATAGTTTGCTTGATGCAATACAGGCAAACCTGCTTTAAATAGGACTCTTATATAGGAAGACACTCTCTCTCTTTATAAAGACAACATGAACCTGAACATAAAAACCTCCTACCTAGAAAAAAAATCTCTCTCTCTCTCTCTCTGTCTTCCCTAAGTGGACTTTGGGGAGAAAGAGGGGGCTTTGCTTTATAACAGTATTACAGAGAGCTCATTTGAGAATTAATTCATACTTTTCAAATATTTCTTTTTTATTCTACAAAAAATACTCTACAACCAGGCACCAAATGCACACTATTTTGTATGCTCCTTTTTCTTCAAGGAATGCAGTATTTGTAGAAGTATTCAATCAAATGGTTTAGTATCATTTCTTCCCATATCTTTAACTATCCCTTTGCATCACTATACCCTACTTCATGCAAAATTGTTCTTCAACAAAGCACGCAGTGACGGTAGTGAGGAAAATCGTCACGCAAGTTGTATGCGATTTTCCTCACTACCGTCACTTCGTGAAAATAGGGACAAAGTGACTGTTTCCACATACACATAATTTACACTCATGCATTATAATTCCAAGAGGCATTATAAACGTTGAAGGTTTTAATCGCGTAGTTTCCCCATGACTTACACTCTCCAATGGGCCATAGTATGAAAGCTTGGTGCCCGTAGGCAAGGAGGATATATTAAGGCTATTTGATGCATTAGTGACAAGATTGAACGTGAATCAAGCAAAAACGATTGCTCTTCGCCAGCAGCCATTACAAATAGATGTTTCGCTGGTTGAATGCTTAAAGACCGCACATGCCGACTTAAAAGCATTAAAGCACTGATGGAACATAATGTGATCCTCTTTGCCTTCTATTTTAAGGTACATTCCAAAAAGCTTTTAGCATGAAATATAGTACAACAAATTCATACACCTTGTGAAATTGATGTTTTAAGTGTTTTTTCATAACTCAAGAAATAAAAGTAGGCTTGTTAAGTTAGGGCCTTTGTTGAATACTTCTAGCTTCAATTTGTCAAACTCTTGAGAAACATAAATTGGGACAATTATTTGTCCACATAAAAAAGTTTACAAAACTTGGTAAAGGTGTAAATAATTTAGTTGCTAACTGTTTACTCATTATGCTTTAATGCTTTAATGGGGGGACCTACACATATATAGGCCTATCCTAAGGACATTGTAATTATGATTAATGCCTTACCGATTGGCAATAGGGCATCAAATTGGTCCCTAACCCACTTCTTCCCATTTTTGAAACACCCCTGCTCTACCATTGGGCCATAATGCCTTCTTCTGCCGCTACAGATCTGAAACCTCTCTTTAATTTGCTCTCGCCGAAACTAGAGCAGGAATCAAGAGATATTACTCGCCAGAAGACAAGGTATTTCCTAATCACCAATATGGTATCCTCGACTTTTGTCCTCAGGTTTTGTTTCAAAGAGGTCACATGTGTGTCTTGGGGCAGTTGTAAGGAGAAAGAGAGAAATACAAGGTCCATTTACACGACTGCAGAAAACACATACAAAACAATCAGAGTTTGCTAATACTGTTTTTTTTTTTTTTTTTTTGTATGTGAGTATATTGCGCATGCCTTGTCGCCACTCTTCACGCAATAGCATGGAAGGGAGGAGGGGGGGGGGGGGGTCACATGAGCAAAAACCAGAATGATTCACAAGCATTTTGAGAGCGACCAGTTACAATTTTTGTTTTATCACATAAGTTTCAGCAGAACACCACACTCCTAGAGGTGGGTTTTTTTGTTGTGTTTATAGTTGCCTAGCAACTTGTGACAGAACTTTGGAACGTGAGAAAAAAACAGGTTGTTTGCTTGTGGTGTAAATGACCCTACACAGGTCAAGAACTTCAAAATATCCTGCAAATTAGATCTTCTCCACCGTACCTCATCGATTTGTGGAAATGAGCATTATAGGTATGAACGAGAAGAGCTATTTATGAGGGTAATTCCCTGAGGTCCCATTCCTATAAGTACTATCCAGGCACATATAATCTACATTTTCTCTGCATTCAAAGCATAATATAAATGGCATTTAATCTGACAACACGGGCACAGACTTTCAAGCCTTTGAATGTAGAATGCATTGATGCCTCCTGGATGTGAAGTGACAATCTGCTGTTAGCCTGTTTCAGTACATAATTTCATAAATGTTTGGTAATGCCATAGTAAAATTTTCCAACTTATATTTAAAACAAATATATTCACATATTTGCAAGGTAAAAACAAATTTTCTCTCCATTATGATGTTGTCTGTTTGCAGCCAGGAGGGGGTTAAATCACGTTCTCTAACGTCCTTCTGGCTCCAAACAGATTTATGAGATATGAATTAGTTGAAGAGTTTGGAATCAAATAATTCTCCATGTTGTACCTTGTATCAATGTGTAATTTCCTATGTTCAATTAGCTTATTAGCTACTCCATACAAGTTTTCATTAAAACAATTGTAGTTTCCATTTTTTTCTCTTACTATGTTTATTTGCCATTTGTGTATATATCATAATACTGTTTTTATCCTTGAGAAGAATTAATAAATTGAACTGAACTGAACTTATGTGGGGCCTTTCCACTCCACATAGAGATTAGAATTTCTTGAAGTCAATACGGATGTTTCATTAAAATATACACAGTACAAGAATTCTGTCTAATTCACTTGACTGAATAGTTTACTCGACCAATGATTTGCATCAGTAAAATATGTTTTAGTGATGCAGTAAACAGTTAAAGTTGTACGCAGAGCAAAGAGACATATACTGTCCTACATTTTAGAATTGTTGATAACTTTTAACTTTACTTCCAGTTAATCAGAAAATTATGATTTTCATCTTTCTCTACAGAACAGAGGAAGAACAGAAGAGTTTAATTTTGGACTTTCAGGGCTTTTGCATTCCATACATTTTCTTACTTCTTTGTATTAAAGAAAAAAGAATAATCATTATGTATGAAATCAATTATATTTCAAATTGAGAAATCCTTTAATGAATATTCCAATTGCGCACATTTCTCTGTTTGAAGCTGATGGCAAAGCCAGGTGGAGTTGAAAAACGCACATGTTTTTATATGCGAGATTGAAAGTAAAAATAGAACAGACATCAATACCTGTGCATTATGTAAAGCGAGACTGCCTTCTATACATACATAACACACACGTGTGGCATGCAGCTACAATAACTCATTCCAGTACTGCTGCACGTGAAGCGCATCGGAATCATCGCGATCCAGCTTGCGTTTGCGTATACAGTTCGGTCTCGCCTCTCTCGGCGGCAGGGGGAATAAAATAAATAAAAGTGACGGCATAAACTCTGTTGGCCTTTAGGGGAAAGAGGGAGATGGATAGTCGGGAGCTTAATTGGAAGGTGTAGAGAACGTTAGGGATGATGACAGAGGGTCTCTTAGCACTTGTTACATCAAATCTCGACCAATAGGAGATGACTTTGTATCTGGAGGGGCATCACTAGTCATTCACAAATAGGGGTATAAATTTACCCAAATAGCCTCTTCAATTTGGGTGTCACTTTTGAATGGAGGGAGTGAACTTACAGAAAAAGCATTTTGAAAAGGGGTGTTGATTTCAAATGGGGGGGGGGCTGAATTTGCCAAGAGGAGGAGAGTCACTAACAAATTAGGGTGTCAATTTCAGATGGGGACCTAATTTACATAAATAGTTTTCAATTTAAAATGGGTTAATAGGGGTGTCAACTTCACTCGGAGGAACCCAATTGGCAGACAAGAGAGTCAGTAGAAATGAGGGTGTCAATATCAATTGGAGGGGGGGGGGTAAGAAAAATATTCACAACAAGATAGCAAATTCAAATAGAGGTTTTATAATCAGACAATGTTGGCAATTTCACATTGAGGACAAAGTTTACTGACAAGATAGCCAAACATTTCCAAGCAAGAAAAAAAGCTGATCAATTTTCCTCCAAAAAAAAGAAATCAAAATTTTCTAACAAATGCTTCTGACTGGAGTGCAGATAACCCCTCCTCTCCTCCTCCTGGAATGCCCCTTGTTTAGTTGGGGAACACATCGCACTGATAGGAGAATATTAGGGATAAACACAGAATTGAAAGATTTGACTAAACATGCAAAGGTGCTGATATATTGGTTCTTTGTTTCTTCTTTTTTGTACGAATGCCAAAATCAGGCTAGCATTGTTTATTCATCAGGACTATGTTTTGAACATGAATGATGGATTCCATTTTGTTTAGTTTTGCTGCTACAAACAGCTACAAACAGCTACATGTGAAACTTCATGTGCAGCATGGTCATTAGTCACACACTCAAATTGTGGAGACTGAGCTCCTTTTTTCTACTCAAGGCACTGTTGCATCTATTATGACAGGTGTGCAAGAAAAGTAATCACCAGTCTGCTTTCTAGATAAGTGTCAGAATCACTCAAATTTTCAGTATGTCAGGATGATATAAGCTAAAACGCGAGTGGTAGTAGTAGTTTCCTTAAAGGTACAGGCATACTCAAGCTAGAAATAAAAATTTGTAATAGTGATAATAATAATAATAATAATAATAATTAGAATAATGATAATAATGACAATAATGATATTAATAATAATAATGATATTAATAATAATGATGATGATGATGATGATGATGATGATGATGATGATGATAATGATAATGATGATGATGATTTAATTATGATAAAAATAATAATAAAAATAATAGTTTATTATACAATGCTCGTGACTGTCAGACTTGACACTTATTATTTAGATCATTTTTTTTCTTCAGTAAAAAAAATGTCAATGCCAAAGGAGCCACTTTTGAAAATCTCTGTCCAAGACAAAAATCCATTACATCAGAAACAAGGTAAATTACACAACTATA